GCATGCTCACGCATCTACATTGCACACTCACACAACGCGTACGGGTTCGTAGCGCAGCGCGCTAATCGCTACACTACCGCTCCCCACCAATACTCGTCACTAAGTGACGGCGGCTGTCACCACGGCGCCTGTGCCAGGCCACGTGCACTTTGAGGCCTACGTGAAGAGTCGAAGGCTCGCTGAAAGTAGGTCTCGGGACATGCCCGGGTGCCATGGGTTGTCTGACTGAGATGACCGGTAGATGCACCACCTGTACCCCCTACTGTGCCAACTTGCTGTATTTTAGCCGCACAGCGCAGCGTTCGTTGTTGTGAGCGTCGCTCCTCCGCCCTCCGTTGTTGCTGGAGGGCGACTGCCTCTATCTGTCCAGCAGTAGCGTCCTTCACGAGCCTCCTCCACAGAGGCCGATCGTGACACCGCTGGTACCGGTCGTCGGCGATGACACTCAGCTCCCCACCACACTTACGCACACTCAAGACAGAAAGATCCTCAATAATCCGTCATACACACCTCACCACATCCTACTTGCTGCACTTGCATTTATAGTAGCATTGCGTGCACTGCCTTCTACAGCTGCCCTGTGGTTAACAGGCCATGCATGCTAAAGGCTACACCGTTGTGTGTTGCGGTCCGAATTAACGAATTCCCTTAAATTATTCATGGTTAATTAATGTCTAAGGAGAGGAGCGGTCGGTCTGCCGATTACCTGCCGAGAGTAATCTTGTTACCGCTGGCGGTACGGGATGATTGGCCCGCTAACGCGATCTCATTGCGGCGGCTCTCTGGAGATGCGTTTGATAATTTCGCTGAACGAAGCAGAATGAATAGATTGAGAAGACATTAGAATTCTGGGGTTGTTGTTGTTTTTTTGTGTTTTGAGATCTTAAAACGTATCCGGGATTGGATTGGGAGCCGCTGGTGGCATTTGAGTATTGGTGGTTCCGTTCCGTAATTGCGAATGGCAGCGATGTTGTTGTCCAGGAGGTCGATGACAATGTCGAGGTCTGCTGCTGTTGGCCACGACGAAAGAGCTGTAGCAGAGAGAGAGAGATCGTGTCGATCTGCTGTTCCTCCTCCTCCTACGTTGAAGGAGTGAAGACCACCATGGTCGTGACTGTGCGGTCAATAGTTTTGGTTGCATAACCACAGTCGCACTCATGTGGCTTTGTCTTCGTGAGTCTCTGTGTTCATAACAAGGCCGTAGCCATGGAGTCAACATTGGGGGGGACCAAATCTTCCAGATTGTCTGGGCCCCCCCCCCCCCCCAGAAAAAAAAATCTAAATTTGAAAACGAATTTCCTGCCTAAAATATTAAAAAATTCACTAACACATAGGATGGACTTTTTTTGTTTACAATTATGTCTAATAGTGTATTGTATTACATTGCTCTGTTTCTTTCTTTTCTTTCTTCTTTCATTGCATGTAATAGCAGAGATTATGGATTAATAAAGTACAGTACAACCATAACCACAATCATATAAACAGGAATCTATTTTGAATATTGCGCTACAAACCCGGCGACCCGAACTGATGCATGGCCAATAGCAGCTGGCACTGGCGAATGCTATATTTAAACCTGTCCCTAGCCTCCTCTAGGTTGACTCAGCCTAAAGAGGACCTGGTGCGATTTCTAAACACCAGTAATGGGGAAACAAAGGCGGACGAGCATTGTGCTGGCCACCCCCCCCCCCTTTGTCTACTGCGCCAACCTTCATATGTGCTCGCAAACAGCACTTGCCCCAACTGTCTATTAAAGTCTATACGGGGGATTTTTGTCTGTATCTGTGTCAGTGAACATGGAACTTCATCTGAAGACAATTTCCATGATAGACACCGCGTGGGGAAGCACCATTAAGCAGTGGATTATCGTAGGCGCTGTACATGCAGACATACGCACACGTACATGCACGGCTGGTGGTGTGTATATGTGTGTGTGTGTGTGTTAAAATCAGTCCGGGCGTGGTGCAGGCCACCCACCTCCTCGTGTGCCGTGCCGGCCTTCATAGGTGCTACTCGCTAACAGCACTTGCCCCAACAGTCTGTCAAGGCTGCACGGGGGATCTTTGTCTTTGTTAAAATCAGCACGAGCGGAGGCTCGTTAAATAGCTTCTAATTAAGCGGAAAATTGCGACTAACTCAGCCTTTATTGTGTGCTCATCCGTCCCCTAACGAGTGGATGCGGTCCAGAGGCGGCGTGTATACGTGCGTGAGTGTATGTGTGTTTTTTTGCCGGGCGTGGCGTTAGCCACCCACCCCCTCGTGTGCCGTGCCGGCCTTCATGAGGTGCTCGCTAACAGCACTCGAGGCTATATGTGAGCGCATTGCGCTAACGAACTCAACGCCGAGTTCGATTTCTTGCTCATGACCAACTAACAGTGGCGAATACCCGAACCTGTCCCGGGTCTCCTCTTGGTCGGCTCAGCCTAAATCGAGTACCTGGCGTAGTGAGTAAGCATTAGCACTGGGGCGACAAAGGCGGTCGGGCGTGGTGTTGGCCACCCACCCCCTCGTGTGCCGTGACTGCTTTAATAGGTGCTCGCAAACAGCATTTGCCCCAACAGTCTGTTGAGGCTACACGGGGGGTCTTTGTGCAGAGGAGCGGGGAAGCCAATGAACATCTGCCACAGGCACGGGGATGAAACCCCCAGAGAATTAGGGGTTGGCGTCGCGCAGAGAGATGGGAAATGGGACCTCCAGACCCTGGCCCCAGTACAATCCCCTCGACACTTAGGGGATTTCGCTCGCTCAATCATCGATCCTTCATTCACCGTTCATTCAAATGTCCGCCCATTCAAATGTTCAACATCGATTGTTCAAGTTTGGCGAGGTAATTGACCAGCTAATTGTGCCCGTTAATTGACGGGTCAAGTCAAATAGGGTGTCCGTTGTGTTCATAAATTGTTGGGAGCGGTAGCGCAGTGGTCGGCGCACTGCGCAAGCTGCCCCTGTGAATTTCGATTAACAAGCCACGGCTCGCATCAGTGGCGAGTGACATCGCAAATATATAAATGGACAAAATAAAAATTTCAGGGCGGGTAGGATTGCACAGTGGTGACGCTTGTGCTATATAACAGCAAGCCGGACATGGGTTCGATCGCCGACTCGGGCGCTTTTTTGTGCGGAGTTTGTATGTTCACCTTCCGCTGTTCTGGGGTTCCTTCAATAGCTGCACAAAATATCCCTGCAATGTAACTGGTATTTGGAAACATGCGTTTGGAGTATTTGGCTGCGATAAAATTCCACGTGATAAGCCACTATCTTTGAGCAATTATTTTTGATATCCAGGTCGCCTCTAAAAAATAGCTATATAGCTCAGTGGGCCGTATCTGGTAAAATAAAAAAAAATAGTTTAGTATTGGCCATGCATCCCAATGCTGAAAAAGTACATGCAGATTACTCAATTGAGACCACACACAGCAGCAACATCGTCACCCTACTGCGACAACTTGACAGGACCCTCCTGCAACGAAAGTCTTGAGACTCTGTGAGGCTTTCCTGGGTAAACTAGCGGAATAATTTTTTAAAAAATAGCGTCCAATGAAAATAATATGCAGGAATTGTTTGGAATAAGTTGAAGAGAATCCAGGAAAACCAACAACTCAATCGAGGGGGATCAACGCTCACATCTCCGCACAGATAGATTAATTAATCCACTGCTGTACTACCACCTCGCATACAATGAGACTTAGAAACGATACAAGCAAGAAATCATTGATTGCATACCCTGCAGTAATACGTGTAATTTATACTTAGCAGTAGTATAAATTACTAAAAAGTAGTATAAATTGCGTTGTAAATAAATAATCGATTCTTACACGTAAGATTCGATGATACTTAAGCATAAAATAATCGACAGATAGTTACAGGCATCTCGTAATTCAACTAATTTCCTTAATTTAAGATCACGGTTCCACTCAATAATCGATTCAAACAAATACTGTGGCCAATGTAGCGGCCTCTGGTGGCTGATGTGATCAACCCGTGACAGTGCTGCACACGATACGACACACACATAAACAAACACGCGCATCAAAATCAATCGATTATTTTCACCCGCGATTCGATCCGTGTATTTCGAGATCAAGTACTCGATTTTAATAGGTAGCCATCGATTGATATGTGAGCCTTGTGCAGTTCAGTGATTAATTTGCACGTCATTCGATCTATGTACAATATTGGGAGAGAAAATAAGTATAACCCGTAAAAACAAAGTTTTTCACTCTAAATCCTTTATATGCGTCGTGGCTAGAGTCCTCTCGTCCTCTGACTTGAGATGGCTGCCACCTATGGGTCAGATGATTGTCTGCCAGTATTAAGCAATTGGTAATTAAATATTAAATTTGTTTTCCCTAAACAGTGTAAAATTTTGGAATTTTTTTTTTCACGAACATTAATTGTCTCGCACAACGAGTCTGTGTGCAAAATGTCAGCTCGATTGGATCACGGGAAGTGGGTTAAAAAACGACCGAAAGGTTTGCACGGTCGTAAGCAAGCAAGCACGCAAGCAAGCAAGCAAGCGAACTTAATATAAAGGATTTAAAAACCTCACATTCAGTCAAGAAGTGAAACATATAAACAGAACAACGTTTCGGCCAATGGACCTTCTTCATGGTACACAAACATTTTGTTAAGGACCATTTCCCGAAAAGTCGCCTATTACATCCATCCATAATATAGGGGGTTTTTTGGGAGTTAGATCGCGTAAATATATAAATGTGTCGTTAACCCCGCCACCATCCGACGCAGCCAATTGTTAAGGTTTGTCACGTGATCAGAACGTGGCCAATTCGTTACGAGTACAGCGACACCGGTTGTGTGTTGGAGAGCAAATCCACAACATTTACAATCTGAGTATTACACACACGTTTCATTTCAATGCAGCGTAGTGTTGTTAATCGACGCTTCATTTGTGCGCTACTGCAAGCAATCACCGAGTAATCGATGATAATAATCGATTATCATAATCGATTACTCTTAATCGAATCGTCGGTCGATATCGAATCCGTGTTGCTTGCGGTCCCACGTGACCCCACCTTCACAGCCAGCAATGGCGCCGACCATCCAGAGTGCACAGAGAGACGCGGAGTCCAGGTTTGGTTCCCCTCCCGAATTCCCCGAACCCCCGAAACCCCAAATCGAGGGGGGCGCCTCTCGCCGGTGCTCGGGGATACCGCAATGGGGATATAACCTAAAACTTCCCCGGGGTCGCGTTCTCACGGGGTATAAATAGCGACTCGGCCTACGAGGACCGAGGGCGAGGCGCTGCTGGCCTAGAATCGCTGCCGCTTTGCGATGTGCGAACCCGGCGGGGAGACTAGGCGAGCACGCCCCCGTTTTTTCGGTGTCGCAGTTATTGTTCTTTATTATTAATTGCGTCGTTTCGCGTCGATATAATTGACGTGGTTTTATTTTGGCAGGGGAGGTTGTGCGGCGATGTCGGTATCGCGGCAGGGTTGCGTGTGTGGCGATTGTTAAGTTGCGTCTTAGCAGTGGTGGCGTTTGTGTTGTTTTAAATGTGGCTCGGCTGGTGCCGAGAATGATGGAGAAAGTTGGGCTCAGGATTTAAACGTCAACACAGCCAAGGTTGTGTACGGTATTGCAATAAGTTCGCGCAACAATTGGGAGACGCGTCTGTCTCGTCTTTGGTTAAGTCACGTAGAAAGAGAAACTTATAAATTAAATAATAGCATACGACGTTTCGATTGCAACGCAAGCAATCATCATCAGCAGGTCGCTATCTAGAATCGCAGTTGCAGGCGGATCGGAATGATAATTATGACACGTGCGGACGGGAACTGGCAAGTGATGGGAACTTGACAATGAAAAGTAACGTCCCATTGTGCCTCGAGAACAAACGGGTTTTACTTAGGAGCCATCCTTTTAGTACGTACGCATAGAGGGGGGAGGGGGGGGGTGAAACCTCGATAATAATTTGTGTACATTGGCCTTCAAATGAGTTAGTTAGTCCGGCGGTGGACTATCTGTTTGCTTAAACACGTTAATATTATTAATCCTTGATCGTTTTTGCGTGGATTAAATATCGACCGTTCTATAGGATTCGGGGGGGGGGGGGTGTAAAAAGTCCGCGTGCGTACAGGGAGAGGGGAGAGGGATCAAGTTTTGACAGATGTTTGCGTACCTACTAAATCGATGTCCCCATAGCGGTGCGTACTGCCTGCTGTGACGTGGTTTTAGAAATACTTTAATGAACAAAAACAAATAGAGTGTAACAAAAGCTCAAACGACGGCATTGTAATTGAGAGAGACTGCCAGGGGAAAACACGGATTGCAGAACATACGCAGGTTCTAGACAATTTAGAATGTTAGTAGAAAGTCAGTGCGCCTCGTCACAGGACACGTGGCTCGAAGGGAATGATGGCCGATAGTTAAGACTCGTGACGGGAGTGACAGCCAAGGAATATAGAACGCGTGTTAGAGAGGACATCCCCGCGGTGTTGTTTAACGAGACTAAGAATCAAGTCGGAACTCTGGCAGATAATTCCAACCTTTCGCGTTTGAAAACAAGCCCGCCTTAAACCGATATCTGGGAACTACCTCTGAGATCATTTTAAGCGACCTGTAACACCCGTGCTGCTACAGAGAGGGTTGTGTGCGATGCATGACATCAACATCGATATTTTTACATCTCAGTCATTTTGTTGTGGAGCTGGGACCATCAGTTCACAATACGTGAGGCCCCGGTTTAATTACAAGGTGGTTGTTTGGACTTAAATCCAGGTTCTTGGCAGTGGCAAATCAGCCACATTTAGATTCATAGTTGAATTTTGGGTCAAATCGAGTAAGTAAAATGTGTGCTGTAAACCCTCCTCCACCTGACCAAGCCAATGAATAGAGTTGTCACGTGAACACATTTCACTTACACGATCTGACCTAAAAATGCATTATTAAACAATATTGGTCATCAAAGCCTCTGTGTTAAATTCACCTCATAGAGTCCGTGTTTAAATCAAATGTTTTAATCCATTGCACAAATTGATGAAAGTGGATGTGATGTCCTGGCTACACACGTGTGCAGTTTTGTTGTTAACTCTGTCCTTGTTGTGTTCAGTAGGTCGAGTTCACACAGAGGAACTCCAGAGAGGTAAGTTCACCACTTCCTCACACTCAACCTACACAAATAACAAACATCCGTGATAATTTCTGGTCGCGACACATCACGTCCTTTTGCGTCCACATGAAAGTGATACTGGGTGGTCAATCCAGTGAGGTCACTGCAGTGACACTTGTGAAATGTATTACATTCAGCGGTGGATTGACACACGCCTGTGTATATACATCAGTAGTAATCGCGGTTGTTGTGTTTAAATCTCCAGGTCCGGGTTGGTATGCCGAGTCAAATACTGCAACACCCTTCCCGACATCCCTTTTGACCCCAAGTTCATCACCTACCCATTCGAGGCGAACAGGTGAAGTCTTAACACCAGTTTCACATAGCATAACATCCCTTATTAATTGCACTAATAGGTGTGGGTGCAGTGGTTAGCAGATTGCGATGTACATTGGGCGGCTTGCGTTTGATCCCTGGCCAATGCCAGTACGAGTGGTGAGTGATATCTGAACTGGTCCAAGGATACGATGAGGTCGACTCGACCGTTAATTACTATCTGGTGCAAGGCCGTAATTATAATATACTAGCTTTACTCCCCGGCTTCGCCCGGGACTTGGATTCACCATGCCCGGCCGCGTTTGTCTCCCCAGTGGCGATGTTGACACACCACACCACTTACTCGTTTGAGGCTGAGTCGACCTAGGGGAGGTCCAGGACCGGTTCAAATAATCGTCACTGGTGGTGGCCGTGAGCGGGAATCAAACTCGGGTCGCCGGGTTCGTAGCGCAGCGCGCTAACCACGACACTACAATGCGTTATGCTTCTACATGCGCCGGTCACATGACAGATTTGAAATCACAGCTCACTTGCCGTGCAAAAAATATATGCATTATTGAGCTCCCACCCCCCCCCCCCCCCCCCCCCCAAAAAAAAAGACAAAAGTGTGTTTTATAATTTTTGCATGGTGTACAGTCTGGAAAGTACCCACGTGGCAAATTTCAAGTGTGTTGCATGTTGGGAAGTACGCTAAACATTTTGAACAGACACACATACTCACAACTTTGCGTTTTATATATATGAAGATATTTGGGGGGACACATCCCCCCCAATGTTGACTCCATGGCTACAGCCTTGATCTGGAGTAACGTGTTGTTGGTCACACCACCCTATCGTGCACTGTCGTCAAGCCACACTGTCCAACGTGTGAAAGTATGGCCAAGCAACCCCATGACTGAAAGGAGTAGGAAGACCCTCATCCAGCAGTGGAGTGATAATGGACTCTACTGTATGTAATAATCATAACCAGAAATCAATAATAAAGTTCATTGGTTTTTTTACCCTTTTATCTGGCAACAAAACTGACACCTTTTTCTTTTACAAGGAGTCATGTTTGCATTGACCACAATACCTGCGGTTGGAATGCAAAAAACAACACAACTCTGATAATGTATGCACTGTCCTTGGAATTGATTGGTCCACACCCGAGACAGCTTTTCTTAGAGCCTAGTCTCACATGGTGTTGGACCAGATGACGCCAAAAGGCGTCGTAAAAAATAAGGTGTCAGTTTTGTTGCCAGATAAAAGGGTAAAAAAAACAATTATCATTTTGCTACTGGCAAAGGAGGTTCCAATGGAATAATAAGTTATTGATTTTAATAATAAAAGTAGTTTACAGTGATGAATAATTATAAAAAACACAAACACTGAAAAGTGTGCAAAGAAGCATGGAGTGATGCAAGCTTGCAATTACATGTAAATACAGAAAGAGGAACGCATGGATGAAACAGAGGTTAATGATTTTGAAACTATAAAGAAAAGTGGGCTTGGGCAATAAATGTCACTCGAGGGCAGTAATGACGGATGGTTAGAATAAGAATTGTTAAAATAATTATGCAGTGGTCACCAAGGAATGGAATGCTTAAATTTCGATTTAAAGCTTTCGTGACTGCAGGGATTCATCTTCTTGGTTCTTTCGGTAAAGTCACGTAGAAGGGAAATAATAAAATAATAAAAATAAAACATAATACAATAATTCTCACGACGTTTCGGCTGCTTGCGTTGTGGCCGAAACGTCGTGAGAATTATTTTGTTTTATTTTATTATTTATTATTTCCTTTCTACGTGACTTTACCGAAAGAACCAAGAAAATGGAATGCTTCTTAGAGGATGACTACCAAGGAGATGGAGCAATGAAATCGGTTCATGTCCATGTGCTCATGGGAGGTGGCGGCGGATAGGGGAGGCCTTCATCCAGCAGTGGATTTTTTGTGTGTTTAGTTTGTTGTCCTTCCCCCGCACCTCCAATTAGCATGGTTAGCTATGTGTATGGTGCAAAGAGGTTCAACAAACGTGCATTTAGATTATTTTGCTGTTTTCAATTTTCAGATAATAATCCACTTTGTTGAGCTGTCATTTATGACCAGGTTGCTTCTGAAAAATAAGCTAATGGGCTTTACATGTAAAGACATTTTTTGTGTGTGTGTATTTTTAAAGTGATTTGTTGACTTTTCTAACACTTTGCACTCGTATCGTGTTTTTGTATTGTTGGAACGTTCTGACCCTCCCCTACTGTACATCTTTAAAAAATAGCTTTATATCTTGTTGGATTCCTCCAGTATAAATACATATTCTGATACATAAAAGAATAAGCAGGAATTGTAACTGGCGTCCGCTGCAGGTTCGTGCAGTACAAGGCGACGTCGCTGGAGAAGCAGCACAAGCATGAGCTGCTCACAGAGCCTGACCTAGGGGTCACCATCGACCTAATCAACCCTGACACCTACAAGATCGACCCCAATGGTACGCAGCAGTTGTATAAAATCAACAGATTTAATTGTTAGGATAAGTACAAATAGTGAAATCAATCCAGCTGTTATTTTTCATATTTCTCCTAAGACAATGCCATTTTTTTGTTCATATTTTCCTGCCCTTTTCCCCCAAATTACATTTAAACTTGCAAGTGAGCAGTGTACCATGTTGTGTGTTAGATGTGGTCGCGTGATGCAAGTGTGCCTATTCTGTATGCAGCGTACCTGGACCCAGCTGACGAGAAGCTTCTGGAGGAAGAGATCGCAACACCACAGGGATCGCGGAGGTAAAGAGGCCCCGGGAGTCTTTATTCACCTGGAAAAACAAAATCGGACTGAAATTAAATATCTAATTTACACAGTTTGAGCATGCGTGCCACTGCTTAAGTCGTGAAGTAAGATGCAACTCACTTCGAGACGCAACACGGCAACAAGATAAGAGCTCTTCAACCTTAGCCTGGCCATACGTGGGCTCGCCCAAGGGGACACCCCCCGCTCAACCTGGTGCTGCCCCCAGATCATCGCACTCGATGATGCGGACCATGCTTATTCAGGCGGCCTGGCTCGGGACGATGGATTCGCAACACCTGGAGAAACATCCAACACAGCCCCGTTGACGGCTTTGCGACTGCTAACTACGACTACTACCAGAACGTGCACAAGTTAGAGCCATCGTAGGGACTTGAGGACAGCGTGTGGGCTTGGCTAGAACACGTCACGGTTAAAAAGGGATGATGGACGGTGGGCGAGGCTAGCGGCAGTGTGGCAGCCAAGGGAGGAGGGAACGGGAGCCAGAGGGGACGTCCACCGAGGTGAAATCAGCTCATGCGAAGAATCTTGTTTCTATGGGACTCTTTTATGCCAGTATCAAGGGTCCCATAGATATAACTCCTCCACCCGAACCATTAATGCTTTGATATTCGCATTGTTTTTGTGCTGTTCACCTTTTGGTGTTTTCTGGTCTGACACTGTTAAGACAAGGCCATAAAGGAGGCCGTCTCTGGTGTAGGCCAATCAGTTTCAAGGACTATTCTATTTCGGTTTTATAAAACGCTCTTTCCAGGACAGTGCATACGTGAGAAAAGCACGTTGGTTTGCATGTTTGGTGGAACCTGTGATAGGGGTGGTGGTGATGGTGGGAGATGTGTGATTTAATGCAAACTTGATGTCTTGTGATAGGCGTCTATTTGGCGATTGAACATCTCAACACCTCCTGTATTCTTTCCGAAATGGTAAAGCCTATTTATTCTTTCATCATGTGGGTGCTAGGTTAAACGTTGCATCGCAGGTTCATGAGAATTGGTGATGGCTTCACCCGGCAGTGAACTGTTTCTACTTTGCAGGTCCCAGCAGCATGCGAAGGTGGTGCCGTGGATGAGGAAGACGGAGTACATCTCCACCGAATTCAACCGTTACGGCATCAGCAACGAGAAGCCCGAGATCAAGTGAGTTTCTGCTGCCCCTTCACAGGCCCTCGGTTCACACACACACACCGACACACACCGACACACACCACTCCCCGGCTTAAAACTCACTGATACACGTAGAGGGTTGTGACGGACTGACACAGTGAGTGGCTTGTCCAGAAAGATTCTGTAAAGGGTTAGAAAGATGATCATTGCTCCTCCGTATAAAATGCTGAAGCATCGCATAGTTATATCAAAATGAGAATCTTGATTTATCCTGGAGGAATCCGATGAGCTGTGAAGCTCTTTTTGTCAGATGTCCTGTATACTGGCAGGTGGTACCGACCAACACTCTTGGCCCATGGGCTAAATTATTTGATTTACTGTGGCCTTAAAAAGAAAAGTATAGAACAGGTGCAGTTTCAAACAAAGTTTCAGTTTCATTTATTTGGTATAGCCCCGTGAGCCATTCAGCTCTTGAATCGGGTGCAACCGCAACAAACAAAAACATGAACAAGACAACATCTAAAAGTGACTGCGCAAACAGAAAAATCCAGGAAAAACCAGCAAAAGTCTTCCAGAAAAAAGCACCGTACACCGACGCTGTGTGCAAAAATCCCAGTAGGATGCAAGTCAAACAACAACCACAAGACAACTTAGATTAAAGCCACCAGTCTAACTCCGTACTACAACAAACAAACATGGCCAAACCAAAAAACTTTTCGAAATCACCCAAATAAAGCCATAAAAGCAATGTAACAGTGATCATAGCAGTGATAGAGAGGGCCCTTCATAGCACATGAATTGGAGAGGCCAGAGAGGTAGTGGATAACAGTTGGAGACTGCCCTTTACACCATTGGGCCTGGATGAGAAATCAGTGTTAATTCTAGATTTGAAGCTTTCATGACTGCAAGGATTCATATTCTTAGGTTTTTTCGGTAAAGTCACGTAGGTAAAACATTAAAATTAATAAAAGTCAAATAAAATAAAAATCACGACGTTTCGGAGGCAACACAAGCTTCCGTCTTCAGGTGTAACCGTCACAGCCACGACAGCTGTATTACTTGTATTACTTGATACAGCTGTCGTGATTTTTATTATTATTAATTTTAATGTATTACTTGATACAGCTGTCGTGGCTGTGACGGTTACACCTGAAGACGGAAGCTTGTGTTGCCACCGAAACGTCGTGATTTTTATTATTATTAATTTTAATGTTTTACCTAAGTGACTTTACCGAAAAAACCTAAGAATAAATCAGTGTTAAGAATATTATCCTGATGAGCGGTTGTTGTTGTTCTCGACGTGCGTGTGGAGTTTTTGTGTTGCTCGTGCTTTGTGCAGCGCACCGCCAATGCAGCAACAATGCCGCTGGATAATTTGTTCGACTCCGTTTGAGCTGCATTGGCTTCCGATTGCTGAACGAATACATTGTAAGGTCGCGCTCGTTACACGCAAAAGTGCTCGCCACAAATTAACCAAAATACCTGGCTGATCTCGTCAAGGAGGATAAACCATCACGCATACTCCGGTAATCCTCGCAGCGGCTTTTGGCGAACCGCCGAACAAAGATGGACACTGCATCGCGTGCTTTCAGATGTGCTTCTGCGGCCATCTAGAACGCTTTTCTGATGAGGAAGCCACTGGAGCTATGCACTTGTAAATCTAAACTAAAAACGGTTTTTATTTAGAACTGCTTTTTGTGTTTAGTTTGTTGTCCTTCCCTCGCACCTCAGATTAGCACAATTGGATATGTACTGTGCGAAAGAAGTTCAACATACATACTAAACACTCCCGTCTTTTCCATGCGTTATGCTAACCTGCCCTCCCTCCCGTGACGGCAGAATCGGCGTGTCCGTCAAGCAGCAGTTCACAGAGGACGACATATACAAGGATCGCGACAGCCAGATCTCCGCCATCGAGAAGACCTTCGAAGACGCCAAGAAGGAGGTGCTGTGCCCCCTCCCCCCTACCCCCCCACGTCGCTGGCGACGATTGAGAGCGATTTGGAAACTAACGGAGTAACGCATTCGTTCCATTTGAGATTGATCTCCCTCCTGTGTCTCCTTCGCCCTCACAGATCGAGGCGCATTACAGCAAGCCGCGGGTCGTCCCTGTGGAGGTCATGCCAGTCTTCCCGGATTTCAAGGCAAGTTGTGGAAGAGAGATGTGTTTTGCCAGTTTCGTTGTACGGTGATGCGGAGGCCTGGACGTTGCTTCGAGCTGATTTGGATCGGCTGCGGTCCTTCCATACGCGATGCCAAAGACGGCTTTGTTGACAGCCGATGGTTCAACTTGGTCAGAAATGTGACCGTTGCACCTGCAGCCGGTCTCCTCGCGATCGAGAGCTTCGGTCGAGGGAGGAGACGGCTGCCACTTTGCGGATACGTCGCCCCGTCTTGACACGCAAACTCCAGCAGCAGATTGCGCACTTTGGTTCGGGGTCAACGTTCGAAGTGAAGAGTGCGACCCTCAAAGGAATGGCGCCGCTCCCATGGTCCCCCCCCCCCCCCGCAACCCCTCCCCCCCCCGAGATCCGCGGATCAAACATACCGCTTGAGACACCGGTGCTAGACGGCAGCAAGAACAGTTGATGCGAATGCTGTCGCAAGAGGTCACACGTTTGGCGAATCGGTCCTTCGCTGACGATGCGTGATGAATGTGGAAGAGTTAATTTGCATTGAGACCGCGCGAGAACGTTTACACACCCGTGGTGTGACCCTCGGGGAACGAGCCCCGGCACCACCACCACCACTACCACCACCACTACCACCACCACTACCACCAAAGATGCTCTGGGACTCGGTGACGCGGTCCTGCGATTAATCTTGCAAAAAATGCCGTATTTGGCTGTTGTCCGGCGAACAGTATTCCTGTTAGCAAGGTGGGTGAGTAAACTGCTGCCCCCGTATGCGTGATGTCCGCTTGTGCGGGCCATTCTCTTAACATGATGGGGGTCGTGCTTGCTCTGCCAGATTTATCAACGGATTCTTCTTCTTCTTATGACGCGACAGTTAACAGAATCGTCGTGACAGGGACGAAGACAAAGCGTTTCAGTATAGATGGGTCGTTTAATACAATTATAACAATAATACATTTATGCAATAATTGTCTGTGTTTGCCGCCCCCCCCCCCCCCCCCACCTCCTGCAGATGTGGATCAACCCGTGCGCTCAGGTCATCTTCGACTCGGACCCGGCACCTAAGGACATGCCCGGGACGACGGCCGTGGAAACGATGTCGCAGGCCATGATCAGGTACGCCGCGTGTTGATCCGTAGGGCGTGGCGGTGGAAGATGTGATCGGAGTGGGGGTGGTGGTGATGGCGGTTGTGATGCTGTCAAAGCAAGTTTATTTTTGTTTACACATGCAGCACCTTTCTGGCACAAGTCTGCCACTCAAAGCGCCATCACAATCATACTGAAACACAAAATCTGAAAATTCAAAAAAATATGAAAATGTGTATATATGTATATTTACATACTATTTTTCGTTGTTTAAGATGTAAAAAAAACAAAAGCAAGTTGTGGCTGCGAGTTAGTTGTTGGTCGTGGAAGATGTGATCGGGGTGGGGGGGGGGGGAGGTGGTGATGGGGGTGGTCAAAGTGATAATGGTGGCGGCCGTAATGGTCGTGGCAGTAGGGGTGGTGGATGCCTACACGCCCCTCGGTAAGGAAGCGCTCTCCATCTGCTGCATTGGGCAGTCGACCGCTAAACCCGTCGGCAGCGTTACTCGCCGAGCGTTGATTGTCGAGCCGTCCGTCGTGCCTTGACCGTTGCCTTGACCTCCCCAGGGGCATGATGGACGAGGAGGGAAACCAGTTTGTGGCGTATTTCCTGCCGTCGGAAGACACGATGCGCAAACGCAAGCGCGACTTGGACGAGGAGCTGGACTTCATGGCCGAAGAGGAGTAAGGATATTTTCGTTTTTTTACTTTTACTCGTGCTTTCCAAGCACGGTTAAAAAGCGTTGGTGCATTAACTCCGTCCGTCTCTCTGTCTTTTTGTAATGCAGGGAGGGTGAGGGTGGAGGGTGCATGATAACTCCCAGAAAACGATCAGATAAGAATGAAACTCCAGGCCAAATTTCGATTTAAAGCTTTCGTGACTGCAGGGATTCATCTTCTTGGTTCTTTTATTTTTATTATTTTATTATTTTCTTTCTACGTGACTTTACCGAAAGAACCAAGAAGATAAACTACAGGCCATTAATAAAAACTGAAAAAATTACCAAAGATCACTAAAAACTGAAAAAATTACCAAAAACCGAAAAAAACCCAAAAACACTAAAAACTGAAAAAATACCCCAACACCACTAAAAACTGAAAAAATGACCAAAAACCGAAAAATACCCCAAAACAACTAAAAACAGACGAAAATACCCCAACACCACTAAAAACTGAAAAAAATGCCTTTGTGCTTGTTCGCCTTTTGGCGTTCTCTGCTCTAACAGTGTTGAAGGCAAGGCCACAAATCGAGCCGTCTCTGGTCTACCCCAATCAGTCTCAAGGGCAATGCGTGTTTAACCGCAAGCATGATGTGCGGTTAAAGCAGACTCGATGATGCATTGCAATAGGTGTCTGGTTGGTGTCGGAACGTCTAAACGAGCGTGGTGGCAGTCGTCGTAGCAATGACGCCCTCCTCTTCGCGGCCGTGTCCCCGCAGTTACGAGTACCGCATGGCGCGCGAGTACAACTGGAACGTGAAGAACAAGGCGAGCAAGGGCTACGAGGAGAACTACTTCTTCATCTTCCGGGAGGGCGACGGCGTCTACTACAACGAGCTCGAGACCAGGCGAGCACGAATCCCCCCCCCCCACCCCCTGTCTTGATTGTCTCTGCGTCCGTATGTCCCCTCTGTCCCCTCTGCCTGCCAGTTCATGGAAACCCATTGCGTGTCTTCTCGTCCATCTCACTGCTTGCCAGGTTGTCCGTCTGTCCACCGTTACATCCGTCAATTTGTCTGCCTGCCTGCCTGCCTGCCTTCTTTGTCTGCCCCTTTGTCTGTCTGGTCTGCTTGCCTGCCCATCTGTTTGTCCATCCCTCTGTACGTGTGCCTAATTACCTGTCTGCTCATCTGTCCACGCGTCCGTGTGTATGTGTTAATGGGGTCGCAGTGTAGCTGTTAGCGTGCTGCATTACGAACTCGGGAGACCCAAGTTTGATTCCTCACTCGTTGCCAACACCAGCAATGATCTTCTGAATCGGTCCTGGGCCTCCCATGGGTCAACTCAGTCTCAAACGAGTACCCAGTGCGATGTGTAAACATCGCAAAGGCGGCCGGGGGCGTGGTTCTAGCCACCCACCCCCTCGTGTGCCGTTCCGGCCTTCGTAGGTGTTCGCTAACAGCGCTTGCCCCCAAAAGTCTGTTCAGGCTATAGGGGGGTGGGGTGGGGGTGTGGATTTCCGTGGTTGTGCTAATGGAAAGTGTGTGGCTTTGTGGCTTCGTGCAGAGTGCGGCTGAGCAAGCGGAGGGCGAAGGCCGGGCAGAGCGCGCAGACGAGCGCCAACACGGTGCTCGGCGTGAGGCACCGGCACATGAACGAGAAGGAGCTCGAGGCACAGGTGCGTGGGCAGGGGTGGGGGTGGGGGCAGGTGCGTGGGCAGGGGTGGGGGTGGGGGCAGGTGCGTGGGCAGGGGTGGGGGCAGGGGTGGGGGCAGGGGTGGGGGCAGGTGCGTGGGCAGGGGTGGGGGCAGGGGTGGGGGCAGGTGCGTGGGCAGGGGTGGGGGCAGGGGTGGGGGCAGGTGCGTGGGCAGGGGTGGGGGCAGGGGTGGGGGCAGGTGCGTGGGCAGGGGTGGGGGCAGGGGTGGGGGCAGGTGCGTGGGCAGGGGTGGGGGCAGGGGTGGGGGCAGGTGCGTGGGCAGGGGTGGGGGCAGGGGTGGGGGCAGGTGCGTGGGCAGGGGTGGGGGCAGGTGCGTGGGCAGGGGTGGGGGCAGGTGCGTGGGCAGGGGTGGGGGCAGGTGCGTGGGCAGGGGTGGGGGCAGGTGCGTGGGCAGGGGTGGGGGCAGGTGCGTGGGCAGGGGTGGGGGCAGGTGCGTGGGTGGAGGGGAGGGGTGGGAGAACGGTGAGTGAAGGCTTTGGGCTCGGGGTTAGAGTTGTCGTCGTTGAGAAGCGGGTCTCTTGCGCTCACTGTGCGTGGTGCCATCTGCTGGTCGTCTCGGTCAGTCAAGGTCAGGGTCAGTCGTGTGACCTCGTGACAGCGGTGAGCACTTCAGCACTCGGCGCGAATGCCTCGGAAGTGCACATAGCCTGGCACCACAAGCGCCGCAGCGACGTCGCCGCCACTCGTGGCGACTGTTGTAGCGAGTAGACCTCCTGGGGACGCTGCCATGGCGGGGTAATGGTTCGCACAGCGGACTTGCAACCCCAAAGGTCGCCGGTTCGATTCCATCTCTCCTGGCGTGGCTGTTGAAACAATAGGTGCAAGTTTTTAGTCTCTGCACACAGCAGTATAAATTGCTTCACCACAGATAGTCTACGGTCGGTAGGTCACGTGTGGTGGGCTAAAGTGTGGGGGGTATTCCTGCCCACCTCTTCCAAAACCTCTCGCCAGTGTTGCAAATGGGCCGCATGCGGAATCAGAATCTTTATCTCAACTGGAGGAATCCCATGAGCTATGCAGCTCTGATTCACAGATGTCCAGTGGGGGCGGGTCAGCAAGTTACATCAACAAACGATTGGAGTGCAAAATGGAGAAAGGGCACGCAAGTCATAAATCATTTCACGCCGATTTGGGCAAGATGGCAAATTAACAACAATCCAAGACCCACAGCAAGACAACACAACACGCAGTGTCTCAATTAAATTGCATATTGAAATATAACTATCCGTACACGGGGTGAGAGAGGGGTTATAAGGTTCAGAGTTACAATACCTTCCGGAACGCCCTCTAGTGGAGCGTTGGTGTGACGTGGAGTGTTGACGCTGGCGCCCCTTTGCTCCGTGCAGGAGGCGCGCAAAGCGCAGCTGGAGAACCACGAGCCGGAGGAGGACGAGGAGGAAATCGAGCCCGACAAGGAGAATCGCGAATCAGGTGCGTGACCGTGATGATGATGATGGTGGTACGATGATGGTGGTGATTGTGATGATAATGATGGTGATGATTGTGATGATGATGATGGTGGTGATTGATGATGATGGTGGTGATTGTGATGATAACGATGGTGGTGATTGTGATGATAATGATGGTGGTGATTGTGATAATGATGGTGGTGATTGTGATGATAATGATGGTGGTGATCGTGATGATAATGATGGTGGTGATTGTGATGATGATGGTGGTGATCGTGATGATAATGATGGTGGTGATTGTGATGATAATGATGGTGGTGATCGTGGTGATGATAATGATGATGGTGATAATGACGGTGATGATAATGATGACGGTGATAATTGTAATGATGATGGTGGTAATGATGGTGATTGTGATGATGATAATGGTTGTGGTGGGGGGGGTGGTGGTTGTGACATTGACAGTATTGGTTATATTTGTGATCGTGGTGTTGATAACATTCGTAACACCAACCAAGATGATAACATTAACCATGTTGATGTGTGGGGTTGGGGGGCGATTCCGCAGGCGCGGAGGATCGCGCTAGCGGCGACGAGAAATCTGACAGCGACCGCGAGGATGACGCGGAGGAGGGGGCCACAGCGGGCAGGGGGACGCCCCCCGCGGGGGGCAGGAAGGGCGAGGAGGAGGAAGGGGGGCGGGCGAGGAGCAGGAGCAGCAGCAGCAGCAGCAGCAGCGAGAGCGGAGACGACCGGCAAGCGAGGGAGGCGCGAGACGAGGAGGAGATCTTCGGCAGCGGCATCGACGACAGCGACAGCGACGAAGGTCGGTGTGGGGGGGGTGGGGGGGTGGGGGGACGACACACGAGGCCGTGCGCGCCTGTGTGTGCGCGGAATGGCGGCCGCGCTAACCGCTGCCAACCCTGGCGACCCGAGTTCGATTCCCGCTTACAGCCGGTGACGATTATCTCAACTGGTCCTTGGCCTCTGCTGGGTTTGACTCGGCCTCAAATGAGTACCTCGTGCGTGCGGCGTGTAAACATCACCACTAGGGGAGACAAAGGCGGCCGGGCGTGATGCTGGCCACCCGCTCCCTCATGCACTGTCTTGGCCTTCATAAGTGCTGGCTCGCGGCACTTGCCCCGAAAGTCTGTTAAGGCTATAAGGGGGTTCTTTGTCTGGTCTGCATGTGTGTGCGTGTGTGTGGGCAGCGGTTGTGCAAGGGTAGCACTCGCAGCAAATACCAGTGACGATTATCTGAACCGATCCTGAGCCTCCTCTACATTGACTCAGCCTCAAATGAGTACTTGGCGTGATGTGAAAACATTACCACTGGGGAGACAACTGTGGCTGGGTGTGGTGCTAGGCACCCACCTCCATCAGGTGCCTTTCCAGCCTTCATAGTGCTTGCTAACAGCATTTGCCCCAACAGTCTGTTAAGGCTATAACGGGGGGATTATTTTTTTTCTTCATGGAAGTGGTTATATCGCACTGCGCTTCAAACCCCGCGACCCGAGTTCAATTCCCGCTCACGACCAACACTTGACAATTACGTGAGCCGGTCCTGTTGCTGTACGTGCATGGTAACAACTGCTTTCGTACCGTACCCAGCTGACCGTGCCAATCGGAGGTGCGATCGATACGCACGCGGCCTATAATCCCGCAGCAAGGGCTGACGGATCACGAATGCCTCTGCACTTCTTTCCCGTGGCCGTCGTGGTCGCCATGTCCGCTGGCAGCACAGCACGTTGAATCCCTCTCGCTCTGTCCGTCTCGTGCGCGCCGGAACAGGGGCTGAGAGCGGACAAGGGAGCGACAGCGACGGAGGAGCCGGCGGCGACACTCGGAGGAGCGGCGGCGGCGGAGCGAACAACAACAGCGGTGGCGGTGGCGGCGGGAGCAGCAGCAGCAGCGGGAGTAGCAGCAGCAGCAGCAGCGAGGCGGGGTCGGACGCCAGCGAAGCAAGCGACGACGACAACTAAGGGCAGCTCGGCAATCCTCATCGTCGTCGTCACGAAGAGGCCGCCGTCTTCCGCAGGTTGATGGCGAGAGTCCCCTGGCGTGCCGAGCCGCACCCTGGCAGTGCAGTCGCACCGCCTGCACACCTCGCCCGACAGCGCACCGTTCCTTCCGCCCGTCAGCCTGGACGTTACCACCCGGGGTGGCGCAACTTTCGCGGTGCCGCTTTCATTCTGCGTGGAAACGGTAACGGCGAATTGTGTGCGATAACCACTGGAAATGAGTGGGCGTTGGAGTAATAAATGGGTACCACTAGCGCTTTGTTAACTTGGTGTTGGTACCGATTTCTGCTCTGGCTCGGTGGACTATTGTTGATTTGCTTCGCCATGGAGCGTAGCTGCGATGCCCAACGCAGCCCATGTTAGAACACGCTAGGATCACGGCGGCACGTGCGTTCCATCTACAGCGCGTGTCAGAATAGGGGGGGAGGAAAGCCCATCACAATCGTTGCAGGGTGGTTTCTAGTTCACCATTTTTGAAGTCTATTGAGGGTAGCTGTTGTTCCGAAGAAAACCTGTCCGACTCGCGAACTGGATTAAAATTCACTTGCAGCCCCCTTCGTGCGATCTGCTTCTGGATAGAGGGGGGGGGGGCCCCCTCTCGATGCCACGCGAGTCATTAAGGCGTTGTTTGACCGTGCTTTGGCAAAGTACGTTCCGTGGCCAATCCATCGATCTTGATTGCAGCTATTCGAAACAGAACTGTTAACAAAAACCATCTAATCACCACGCAGGTGGTGGTGGCCATTAACCAGAAACCACTGCGTTTTGGGAGAATAAAAACAAAACACCTCTAACCTACTGCAAATGAAAACGGAGGCAGTTGAGATTCGAAAAAGTTTAGCTACGTCTCCTGTCTGAACGTGAACGTAGTCATGGTGGTCATCGTTGGTTCAATTTCAAAAGTCTAGGGCCAGACCCCCGCGCATGTTGATAAACAGATTAAATGTGCAGCGCATCGGCCATGTTCGATCCACTGCATCTGACCTGCACAAGCAGATTGACGCTCCATCTCCTCGTCAGGAGTGCTTCCAGAAACGCTCCATTCCTCGGCTGGCCGCTCCCATTATTCTTAACCATAGCCTCCAAGAAGAGTTGGGGAGGCCTTCATCCAAGTGGATAAAGCGTGGCTGATAAATAACAAAAAACTGCATTAATTTGGACCCCATTCACTATTGAATCAATAACTATTCGTCACCACTGTGAAAACAACCACCAATCGCATCCATTGACGTCTACGCTAATTAAGTGAACGCCACACTCAATTTGGGGCAACACCAAAGCAAGAAATCACCCGCCCCCCCCCCACTGGCAGACTGCTGCACAGTCACCTCGTGCTGCACAGGGACAGCTGCCACCTCTGGGGGGGGGGGGGTGCCCCTTTGCCCCCCCGCACGTTGAGCTGCCGCCACGTCATGCTCCGAGGGTGTTTGGGAAAATGCTTAATTAGAAACAAAATCGGTTATTATTTCAGGAGATTGAGTCTAACCATCACCGGTCAGAGGCCAATGCAGTTGCCACCATACTTTCACAGGTCGTGAAAGCATTGAATGATGGAAAAACCAAAGGCTTTACCCCTTTTCAGCAGAAACAGGGAGGCGTTTAGATGTTCCAACCCACCAAGGGAGACCTGTCACAAGGCACCGAGTGTGCATTAACCACGTGCATTTGGTAAACCGTGCAAAGAAATATGCGTTGACAATGCACGGTCCTTGAAACAGGTATGGCCTGGACCAGCGTCTTATTTTATGAGCTGGTCGAAGTACTACCGACCAAAGGACACCAAGAGGCAAACACACAAAGCAACCACCAAAGCCTTACTAGTTGGGGTTAAGCAGTTCTATGTAGGTCTTGATACTGTCTTAAAGGGCCCCATATCCTTAAAATTGTTCACCTTCATTAGGTCTATAACACCCAGAGCAAGGATCGGTGCAGAGAAACCTCAAAGGTTTCCCGCACCTCCGATTAGCACGGTGTGCTACGTACGGGCTCGGGGTTCCAGTTGACCTGTTGCACAGGCGGGTCGCTTGCTCACTCAGCGTGTGTTGGCGCCATCACGAGTGGACGTGACCTAAACCAGCCGTGTGCTTGGCAAGGAGCAGAGAGGCGTGTAAAAATATGTTGATATTACTTTACGCAAAGTCAACGACTTAGTGGGCGAGTGATTGCTAGGACTCTTTTTTTATGTAGAGTTGACCATTCAAGTTTCTCGTGTATACCAAGCCTGTCTATATTTTTAACTTGTGCCGAGAGTTTAATAAAAATTGTTTTAAGCCATGCAAAGCCATCCTGTGTTTGTCTGGGAAAACATCCCTTTAATTGGGGGGAGGGTACTGAAATGCTGCTACCACAGGGTGACAGCACACCAGGGCTTGCCATCCACAGGCCTGTCCGTCGGATTCCTTCTCCCAGCGTTGTTGAACAAATCGACATGCTTCTACTTTTTAGTTTGTGGTCCTTTCCCTGCACCTATGATTAGCAGTTGGTTCCGTACGCCGCAAGAGTTCATACACAAATCCTCTGCCCACCTGTCCACCCAAGTGTGTACACCAGTCGATCGGCAGCTCGCATTTGGGTTACTCCCACTTCTTCCAAGGGACTTGGTCATGGCACATGCCTGTGATCCAGCAGTAGAAGAAGAGGGTTAGTGGATCGCACAATGCTGCGAAACATCCTTCCCACGGGTGCAGAGGTCACCAAAGGTATGATAGCAAGTCAACTAAATATCTATGGGCATAGCGTGTTGGTGCCCCCCCCCCCCCACCTCGTGCAAGACCTGGGGTTTCCTCCCCACCGTGTATAAAACAACTCGGCTTCAATTTTATTTAGAGCAGTAGCAGCACCGTTACTAAAAAGACATTGTACTCACCGCATAGAACTAGCGACACGACCGCACTCTGATATCCGGCGTCAAACTGCCACACACACGCTTCTCGCACCTGGGAGCCACGGCACTTGTTATGACCGGAAGACATGCCCGTAAAGTTATCTAATTAAAAACCCAATGAAGCAGGACCATCTTGAAAAAAAGTTCAAGAGGGTCGGTGTGGCTTTCATGGATAAACAATTTATTGTATTTGTAGAACGTTTGGAGTGTAGTAAACAGGACATGCCAACGAGGTGGGGTTCAAGTGCTCTGGGTGGAGGACCTGCCTGCGTTTAATTTGTTGGCTACATACGGTGCAAAAGAAGTTGTAACATGCTTGTGCTGCTGCCAATGGCAAAATATGCAATAGCAGGCCTGCACCTTAATACATTAACCTCTGACGAAGCACTGCTGTACGAAAGACAAAAAAAACTGGCAAACCGGAGGTTATACAAGGTTTTTATTCGGCATCTCCAACATGTCCCGCTCTCCATTCATTCTCTCGGTAACAAATACCGTGTTACACGTTTAAAACAATAGCCAAAAGGTAAACACTTAAACAAGAATAACATGCTGTAAAGATTTATTCGAAAAATGTGCAGAACTGCATATTTTTTGTTTTTATATATATATCATCGGTCGGCAAAACCCTGTGGTTTGAGCTTTTTAAGAATAACATTTTATTTAAAAAACGGTGCGACGGGCCAAAAGTTAGGCCTTTTGTTAAAATGTATTTTTGCGGCCGATGATGCAATCGGCTGTGGTACCAACACCCCCCCCCCCCCACATTTTCTCATTGAAAACCCCAAATTGCGCAAGTTTAATTTTTTTAGTATTTTTATGAAAACTTTTCTATAAAAAAAAGCATGCTGCAAAAATCCTTTTAAAAAAATTCAACCACATCGTGAAGGGAGGGCTCTGGACGTGTCAAGCGTAAAAGGAGGCGCGGTACACCAGTGGGTAACTAGAATCGGCGATGAGATGTGCAGAATAATTTTAAATAATAAGCTATAATTGACTTAAACCAGCCTCCGTTTGCTTTCACGCGCCTCTGGGAAATAAAATCGGAAACATCTGGGTGAGAAAGTACGCATATAAAAAAAAAAAATCGGAGGCTTTACAACAATTTTATATTTGCCAGCTTGTCAATAGTTCGTCAAATACCACACAAACTCGCCTCCACCCCTCCCCCCCCCCAATAAACCAACAAGAAACCCCAACGTAAACCACCGCCGTGCATGTTGACAGCACCGCAGATCACCGCTGTCGAGTCAACACAGGGACGTACGTGGGAGAAATTCCTCCCGTCACTTGAATTTTGAGATCGTCGCGATACACAAAAAAAGAGGGGAGGAGCCGGGAAAAGAAACTCAACGGAACTAAGAAGAATAAACCAGACGTACATGCGCTCTTGCGAGCAATCCCACCGTCCCACCCATCCTGTGCGCGCACCTCCACTCCCTAAAATCTTTACAATTAAAATAAAACCACGTGTTTGCCCCACGCTCGAGGAGCGATATTTAGTTTGTGGGTATGGCTTCTCGATGGATGGTGGAGTGGTGACGAAGTGGGAGAGGGGGGGGGGGTGCTGGATTTAGAGAAATAGCCAGTGGGTTGGGCGACGCGATTCCGACATTAGGAGGTAAACTGCTGCGACTCGGGCACCTGGCCAACGCCTGGCACGGCGGCGGTGGCAGGACCCTTGGCTCTCTCAAGCCGATTGTGAAAGCACCGTGGACGGGCAGACGTGGCGGGCAAGACTGTGCGCAGAGCGGGGGGGGGGGGGGCGGCGGAGCCAGGGAGCGCTGCTCCCAACACACAACACCCCCCCCCCCCCCGTATAGGGGAGAGTTAAAAGCCCATTTTGGTCCTGGGTGCACAGACGTGCGATTAGAAAAGGGGGGTGTTAAACAAAAATAAACGAAATATCCAAAACAAAACGTCCCGACAAACCGGCTGTGAAAGTGTCTGAAAGAATTGGAGTCTCTTTGTTGTTGTAAAGGTTAAACAATAGCAATGGTGGTAGTAGTAATAACTAAACAAAGTATTTGGTGAGACTGCTGCGTTGGCAGTGGTGTACGAACACAACTCGTCCGTCAATAACACCGTGGGGAGGCCTTTAAGTTAACAAGTTGTGGATTAGTTTACACGTGCTATGAATTAGGACCATTCCACAAAACGGCCACCACTATTTGACGTTTAACTTTCGTCGCCACGGCGTTACCGAGAAACGTTTACATGTTGGCTTGCGCTTTTGTTATATAATAGTAACAATAAATGATAACGTAGAACTACAACTGAGAAGAGAATTATATAAGTGAAAAATTAAGTGCAGCATTATAAGAGAGTTAAAAGCCCTTTAGGTGAAAACCAAACTTCACAGCAAACGTCAGTAAGGCTTCTAGGAGGGATCGATCGATCATCCTCTGGGCCAGTGAGGGCATCCCCAGGCACATTGCCCCCATCCGCTCGGCCCCACTGGACAAACAAGCCGCTTGCTGCAAATCCTGCACGGCATAAGACAAGGGCAGCCCAATGTAATATTAACAATACGAGTTACGACACACACACACGCACGTATCGTTCATATAGGAGAGGACTCTTCTACACGCACTCAACACGGTACATCCATTGTCCTTGCAAGCTTTTTAGAAACAAAAAAACGAACGTGAAGTCTGAAAATGTTCCATCGTATGCGACGCGCGTGAGAAGGAGGAGTGCAGGAACACAACTTTGGCCGAGCATCGGCCGATGCATTTTGGAGTCGTACAAAAGAAAAGTTGCCCCGTGGCTCAAGTAATTTTTTTAAATATATTTTTTGTTTAAATCTCTTGACGTTAAAACAATTGGTTATTTGTATATACTTTTAACGCCATCCACCATCGCTTTTAGTGTAAGAACGTCGACGGACACAAAACCACCGGGCGTAGAGTGGGGCAGCGCTTTGCAAAAATAAAAATAAACCCAACACGTTGCATCCGCAGTACAAACGCACCGACACGCACGACCGATCTTTCGCGTGGGTAACAAACTTTATATTGTATCATTCCTTTTTATGCTTCTTCCTATGAAAATACGATTTTTTATATTTTCTTACATTTTTCTGCATTTATTTCTTGCGTACGTAAAAAAATTTGTTAACGGGGGAGAAAACAAAAACTACTACAAATGGTTGCCAGCCATTTACCATTGTTCTGCGTCGTCCAGGAGAAAGAGGAAAATAATATTAATGGAAAAAATTCGACGACGAAAATCTGCCCGAAAAAAACAGGAAGGCGCGGGGGGGGGGGGGGGGTGTTTACAATGCAATAAATATGAACATAAAAATCTAAAATTGGGGTCAAGGGGAAATATATATTTATATATATGGTTTAAGCAAATGACCAAAAAAAAACTTAGTTCGTACAAAATTAGTCTAAAAAAAAAAGTAGTAAGCTTAGCGTCAAAGTGTACGGGAGAGATGGGACAAGTTCACGCACTTTGGTCTTCCCGACTGCCGGTGGGAGGAGGTGGGGGGGGCTCTCCCGTGCGGGAAGATTTGCGTACCGGTGTTGATGCAGGAGGCGGGAGTTTATCCCAGTCTGCCAAGATGTTAGTGGATAAAAACTCAGCCACGCTGGGCACCGCGCGCTCACGGTCCAGTTTGGCCGCTGTCAATCCGTCAAATGTCGGTGCCAGCAGCACGCCGGTCGCATCTTCCGCCCGCACGGAGGGGGGAACAAACAACTGCCACGGTGCGGGGAGGTTGTTGTGCGTGTGCAGTTGCTCAAACTTTGTTGGCTTAGGTCCTGGCACGCCACGCACGCACTTCCTCCCCCCTCCCACCCCCCCACCCAATAATACCATGCCCGATTTAGCATTTTTGAAACGTGCGCATCCTAAAACTAGATAAAAACCCACATTCCCCAACGTAATACATCTGCCAGGAAACACGAAGTGCGGTTTTGGAATCCCATGCCATCGTTTAAAAAATAAAGAATAAAAAAATTAAAAATTTTTTTTTTTGTTATCCAACACTGCATTTTTCAAAAGTGAACAGCACAGCTGGCCAAGAGAATAAAAAAAAAAACTGCTGTTTGCGCAAGTTTTAAAATAAACGTAAATAATCATTTGCCATCTTTGTACAAATTCACAGCGCCTCATGGCGACGTGCCGATCTCGTTCCAACACCAAACGCCAACAGAATTAACCTACCGCAACACGGCCAACTCCGACGACGACATGCCCAAACACCCCCATCAGCCAACCACACCACAAGGACAACCCCTCAACGCCACTACGCCAATCGCTCTCCAAAGTGACACCGCCACCATCGCAATGAAAACAAACACTTCATTATGGCCATCTCCCAAGTTTCAAGCGGGGAAAAAAAAATCGGAGACAGGGAGGAGGAGGTTATTCGTGAACGTCATTCGATCGGATATCAAAATGGCTTTGCTTGGATTAAATGGGAGCGAATTTCGGGTTTAAAAAAATAAATCTAATTTTAAAAACGTGCGGGAGAGGGGGATGACGATAAACTCACTCCCCCCTCTCCCCCTCCTCCACCAAAAAAAACAGAGTGGACGTCTAAATAAACCCCGACGCTATCCTGGACCCTCCGTTCTTAAAACTCACAACGGCAAAAACGTAAAAACACGTCCTGAAGATCCCACACGCACCGAGAACCCCGTTCAACGACTTAATCCCTCGCTTCTTCAAAACACAGCCTCCTCTTGAGATTTCCTTAAACTTTCCCTTAAGCACCCACACAACGACAATCGCCAGCGCGGATCACACGAGGCTCCCCTCCCTCCCCACCACCCTACAGGGGTTTCTCTCCATCTGCTGCGACCGCCCCCCACTCCCCACCATCCTCTACCCCCCCCCCCCTTTTGGAAAACCCCACTTGATTTTACAAGACAAGAAGGAAGAGGAGGAGAGCCAAACACTCCGGCCAGCACAGATCCCCGGCATCTCCCCGGGCCATCCTTAAAAAACGCAAAACAAGCTCGCCAACAACTTAATGACAAGAAATAAAACTATTTAAAAACAAACAAAAAAGCGATAACTTTTAAATATCTTTACACAACATTTTAAACGATGGACGTCCCCGCAAGCCTGTACAGCCATATTTGGTTTCGGTAGAAAAATATTTTGGAGCGCCGAGGTCACCGGTCGCTCGCTTTAACCCCTCCCATCGCCTCCAAGGTCAAGCGGCGTCGCGCATCAAGCGGACAACACCCGAACCGGGCACCACGGCACCACGGTGCGTGTGTGTATATACACACACACACACGCACGAGCTGCAGGTAGCGGTCGCGCTGACGCTCGTTACATAGATTTGAGTTTCCGACCTTTTGTCAAGTCGTGCCTAAAAAATCTGAGAAGATTTAATAAAACTAGGCCAATCTCCGATTCCGGTTTGCATTGGGGAGAGATTTGGCAACCTTCTCCACGTTTTGGATGGTTAAAGACGGCCACCAAAATACAGCTGCCCCTGTCAATTTTACCCGGCAAATGAATCATTCATCGGATAGAGAGCAAGGTGGGGGGGCTTGGTGGGGCTAGTAATAACTCCCCGTTGCCACTGGCACCTGGGGCTGGTCCCAACCCCAGCACGGCACACATGTGCCAGTGGAAAAGACGAGGGAGGTATTGCTGTAGGCCTGCCAGTCTCACGGACAACTTTGCCCGTCCCATGTGCCATTTGTGCTCAATGTCGAACGTAAAAATATAAAGTTGCCGATTCCTTTTGTGCTGTTTTCACCAAACAAAAAAATGTGAGGTGCGGGGGGGGGTGTGCGAAGTAAAAAAAAACCATTCACAACAAATGCACCCAAACGTGCAGAGAAACGCAAACGTTAAAAAAACGCCACCACCACAGAGAAAAATAACACCCCGTGAGAGAAATCCACCGCTGTGCACTCAATGGAGGGTAAAGTGACCGTTAAATATTCCGTGATATTTCAAAACGTGAGCTCCAAGCCAAAGGGGAAGGAAAAGCAACATTATATTGAAACAAAATAATAATATTTAGTGTTTGAAACGCAAAACAGCACAGAGGAGGTGGCGACTGCGTTTCGCGAGCACTGTGGGAGTTGAAGAGCGCGATCCCCGCAACGTCGGAAGGGGAAACTCCCCACGCGGAGGAAGCGAGGACGGGTCGTCTGGAGCGGCGTGGAATGTAGCGACACGGGGGGCGGTCAACCTCTGCACGAATCCACTCGCGCCCCGCCACCGAGAGAGCGAGTCAATTAAAAATTTAAAAAAGATGGTAAAATTGGCAACGTTACCGAGAACCAACGAAATTTTAACACACAGACCTGAAGAAGAGCATTACGTGGACCGAATGGTGGAGCGCGTTCATTTATCTTGATAAGAACAGAACGAACCCGATAAGAGGTTAAAACGTTAAAAACTACTCGCGGCAGTTGCCCCCGCAGCGACGGTTACAAATTTCAACGTCATTCGGGCATTACTGCACGCGCGCCATCATAGTCGTCGTCGCCAGTCGTGGCTCAAACAGCACCATCCTTGCCCACACCCCCGGTGTGTCTTAAGCCACAACTGGCGATTTGAATAAGAAAAAAAACGGACGTGCAGCCGTAACCGAATAAAAGTCAAAATATTAATTCTAGAACTTTAACAAAACCAAACAAACCACTCAAGGCCCATTAGCCGCCACCATAGCTTACACAAGATCCCATTAGTGTCCTTTCTGAGAGAAGTTTGATTTTTCCAAGCTGGCTGAGCCATGAAAGTTTGAGTGAGATGGGGTCTGGAAAGGGGGGGGGGGGGGGGGGGGAGCGGTGGCGGCCCCCGTCCCTCTCGGTAAAAACTCGGCAACAAAAATCGGAGATCTCAAATCGTCGAGGTCCGGTCCACTCCATCTGTGGGCAGAGATATGAAAGACAAACTGAGATTCAAATTGCGAGCTTTCAATAAGAAATAATTTGAAGATAAACTCAATTCTAAAAACTAAACCGTTTTGTATTTTAGCAGGTTAAGGGCTACTGGAGCTGTACAGATTTTTTCAGAAGCGACCTGGCCACAAATGATCACTTACAGAAGTGGCTTATCAAGCGAAAACTTACAGCTGCAGCCAAAGACTCTAAACGAGTGTCGATTAAAAAAATCTGCTTCATCCTCCCGTTAAAATAAAACAAAAACCACGATTTGCATGTGGCCACCCCAACTCTTTATCCGCCCTCTCCCCGCAGCCCACTGGTGGACTTCAGTCACAGCCTCTTCCTCCCGTTCCTACCGCTTCCCATTCCCCCCCCACCACCACATCCCCCAACTACGCTTCCATTCCTGTAGTACGCCACGGGTAACATGTTCTGTGTGTATGTGGAACTTCTTCTGCACCGTATGTAGCTAACCGTGCTAATCAGGAGGTACGGTGGAAAGACAAACTACCCATGCGTTCACAAATCTCAAGCCAAGTGTTGTTTTTAATATACAAAAGGCATGTTCATGGAATAAGTTCGCACTTAAACAATTTTTACAATTTGGGGGAAAAAACATGCAACGGTGATAATATCTGAATGTGATAGCAAGCATGGTAGTGCGTTCGTTTGAGAGCAAGCGTCATAGCGAGTATACAACGGTAGGGGGCAGTAGTGTGTGCCAGCGTCCGTGTGTGTCTATGTGTGCCTGCGTGTCGCCGTGACCGCCTGCCAAGCGAGCCTTGACACTTCACGTGGCCTCAAACTGCACCCAAACTGGCACAAGCGCTGGGGGTGATGTCACCGTCACTTAAATGGCAGGTGGCGACTGTTATTGTGCCAGTACGTGCGGCAGCGCAAGTGCAGCAGTATTAAATGTTAGGCGGCTTTTCGTAGCGGTGTTAACAGGCACTTGTTAACAGCACTTGGCCAAAGTCCATTAAGGCGATGGGGGATCTTTGTCTTGTGCGCGTCGGTACGCGCTCGTTTCTGTACGAGCGGTGAGTGCGCTGCGCTACGAACCCGGCGACCCGAGTTCGATTCCCGCTCACGGCCAACACCAGTGACGATTAATAATCGGAACCGGTTCTGGGCCTCCCCGAGGTCGACTCGGGTCTCAAATTAGTACCTGGTGCGGCGTGTAAACATCGCCACTGGGAAGACAAAGACGGTCGGGCGTGGTGCTGGCCACCCACCCCCCCCTCGTGTGCCGTTCCGGCCTTCATAGGCGCTCGCTAACAGCACTTGCCCCTACAGTTTGTTAAGACTATACGGGGGATCTTTGTCTTTATTTCCATATCACATAATGATGCTCATTAGTAGTCCGTTTGGCAGCAAGCGTGTAGTAGTGATCGATCGTGTGTTGGGGGGGTGGGGTAGGCGGATCACTCTGAGAAGGGGGTGTGCCGCTCACCTCCGAGAGCGTGCTCCGTCATGCGCAGGCACAGCGACTCGAGCCGGTTGTTGATCTCGGGCTCCGTCACGGGAACCGGGAACTCTGCAACAGGAGGAGGAGATCATTCATGGCGCTGAACTCAGCTCTTGGAGCCAATTCCAAAAGACATAAGCTCATGTATCTCGGACGCCTAGATTATGAGGTATAACTTGCATTGGGGGGAGGGGGGGTTTCAATGGGAGAGGTCATAGACGCTGTCTTTCCGACAGACCTGTTCTTCACCTGAGGACGGCTGCTTGCGTTGTGGCCGAAACGTCGTGAGAATTATTTTATTAGGTTTTATTTTTATTATTTTATTATTTCCCTTCTACGTGACTTTACGGAAAGAACCAAGAAGAGGTCACAGGAGCTGTATACGGGATGTGTTGTGTGCGAGGATGTAGCACTGCATGTGTGTGTGTAATGACAATAGAGCCTGCATGCGGTGTGAGGGGACTAGTGGCCACGGGAGGTAATGACAGCAGGGGCATCAGCGGTGAGTGCTAAGGGACTGGTGGCTACGGGAATGTTCGAGCAGGGAGCGCAGTCAGGCGACAGAAGAGGTCGGGTCGAGTCTGCCAGTAGAGCGAGCGTCCAGAGTCAGCGAGAAGGATCGAGAAGGGGGGCGTGTGGCCTCGTGTTGATATACAACGGAGGAGATGTGAGGGAGACTTGGGGCTGTTGCAGTGGGGATCTTCGCCCGATGTCAAGTGAACGTGTCGTCAACAAAGTGGCATCTCAAGAGAAGTGGGTCAGGCCGTCATTACATGTGTATGCGATTTTATAGCAAACAGCGGGCACAGCTGGTGCATCTGTCAGTCAACCCATGGCATCTGGGTTTGTCCCGTTACGTCGCGTCAACGAGCCTTCGAAACTTCACGTGGCCTGGCCAGGCACAAGCGCAGTGGAATTGTCACCGCCACTTAGGAGGCAAATGGCGGGTGTTGTTGTTGTTGTGTAGTATGCGTCACTGTGTAGTGGGCAGTAGAGACCCACAGGTGCCAGTCTCAGCTAGTCAACCCGTAGCACCTGGGTCTGTGCCACGACCTCCGACCAGAGCCTTTTTACACTTCAGACAGCCTCAAAGTGCACCTAGCTTGGCACAAGCGTGCCGCAACAACGTGTCCACCACCTCATCGGCAAACGACGGGACGGTCATTTTCGCTGGTGCTGCCATAAGTTGCGGTGCGTGGCACCAATGGCGTCGTTAACCGCACCGCCACGGAAAACGCCGACTTGGGTCCCCACAATCTCCAGCCACGGCTTAACCAGTTACCCAGCACACCACGAGTTCGACTCAAGTGTGTGAGCAATGCCCCCGCCCGAACTCACCCATCTCACCTGGCTGCTGGAAGAGCAGCATGGCCTGTGGGGAGGTGTGCACGGGCAGCGATCGCGTCCTCTGCACGGAGCTGTGGGTGCGGCTCGGCATGCTGTTACTGCCGCCGCCGGCACCGAACCAGATGTTCTGCACACGCAAACAACAACAGCCATGAAATAACACGCAAAGATCCCGCACCACAGTGCAGGCCACACCACTGCCACCAACACTAGGTGGGCAACTGGCAAAAAAGACAGATTTTCCTCATGCACTAACTTCACAATAAGTTCACAAGACACACACGCATCATACATAGCGTAACAAATACAGGAGACTGGGACCGGATCATTAAAAATAATTGCTGTCACTTTTCAATTTGTGTTCTTAATATAATACTTAGCCACAATATAGAATTTTTAAAAACCATCTCACAATACACATGATCACAGCACATTTGTCAGATTATTTTTAGCGCTCCAAGTACAGGAACATTGAGAGAGGAGCATGCAACCGCCAGCCGTCTCTTACTTTCCATTGCAATGCAACGATGTTTCTCTGCTCGTGTACCAAACAGCAATTCCGATGACCTGCAACGATGTGACGAGAGGCCATCGTCCAGAAGTGGATCAAAGAGCAGCGCCGTTGCATGCGTGTGGCACCTCAGGCCTATCTCGTGACCTCCTGCTAGCAGGAGAGCCTTCGACACTTCACGCGACGGCTTCAAAGCACACCTAGCCCGGCACACGCGCCGTGGAGACGTCATGGCGGCGGCCGTTGTAGTACCTGACGTCCTTTGCTCAGCACGGCCGAGGTTCCCAGCATGGTGCCGGCCACACCTCTCTGCGTCGGACCCAACAGCCCCAGTCGGGTCCCTTGTGGCGCTGCGGGAAGGCCCCGGGCACCCAGCGGGAAGGGGCGCTGTGGCCTCCAGGGCAGACTCAGGCCACTGGCCAAGGCACCAGGAGGAAGGGGCAGGGGCTGCCCAAATACTCCCCACCTGCAGGGAGAAGGCAACGGGGTCGGGGGGGAGGAAAAGGTCGACGAGAAATGGGAACGGTTCGTCAATTTAAATTCCAAATTGTCCAAGTGTCGCACAGTGGGGTGGGCCGCTATCAAGTGTGCAGGTGCATCGGGGCCCACGGGGCCTGTGACGGAGGACAGGCTACAACCTGCTGAGCATCGCCAGTCAGGGAAGATGGGCTTCCGCGGAAAGGCTGCAGCCCCGCCGCCCACACTCTCCCAGCGTCCACGCAACGCTCCCCCCCCCCTCCCTTGTTCCTCCCCCCTTCTCGCCTATATAACCTCCCGTCAAGGCATATCTCCCACTTCAGCAAAACAAAAAATGTTTTTGCTGTGGTTTTCCCACCTGATGACGATTGCTTGTGTTGCAATCGAAACGTCGCGATTTATTTTATTTTATTCCTACCTACGTGACTTTACCGAAAGAACCAAAGAGTATGGATTCCTGCAGTCACAAAAGCTTCAAATCAAAAATTGAATCTTTCGATGCAATCAATAATAAAAACACACTTCGCCCAGCAATGGACTTGACGAGCGTCTCACCTCATTTGCAAAAGGATTGTCCCTGCTACATTGGAATCAGCCAAATATTCAACTACACATACAAGGAGGGGGCGAGGGAACAAAAAAAATGGAAATAGGGTACCCCCCCCCCACTCCCACACCATTTCATTTCCTTAAGCCAGGGCTCACGCCAAGCTCGTGACTGCATCAGGGTCACGTACAGGGTGGGAGGGGAGGGGGGGCATGGCACATTCCGAACACTCGCGGCTAGCAGCGCATCACCCAGTGTGTCGAGAACGGCCCTGGAAGATAAAGACAAACGGTGGCGGGTCCATCTTCTTGGTTCTTTCGGTAAAGTCACGTAGAATGGAAATAATAAAGTAATAAAAACAAAACATAATAAAATAATTCTCACGACGTTTCGGCCACAACGCATGCAGCCGGTCCCTCAGGTGGAGAGCAGGTCTGTCGAGTAGACAGAGTCTGAAACGGTGGCGGGTTCACGTCACCGTCGCTCGGTGGTGGCCGCCGTTGTTGTCGCCGTGTGCGGTACCCACCCGCGTCCCTGCTGCCGGAAGGCTTGCATCTCCATGATGGGCTTCCGGGAAAAGGCTCTGAAGAGCTTCTGCACCTGCTGCTTCCAGGAGAGAATCCTCTTCTTCTGGGTCTCGGTGAAGGCCTAAAACGCACACGAAAAAATCGACCGTCAAACTTTGTCGGCCAAACTTTAAAAAAACTATAGATTACCACCACGCTGGCCAAACGCAGCCAGGCAGATCGCTGGTTATGAGCAAGCAGCTCGCAAATCGGAACGTCGCGTTCAACTCCTGGTTGTGTGGGGGTGGTGGGTGTTTACTCTGTCCATCAGCCCTCTGGAGTAACTAAGCTTCGCAACATTGTGGGTAGGTCAACGATTTTGCCGTGGATAAATTAATCCCCGCCATGAGAATGTGGATTTTCCATCCAGTGCATCGGGGACATAAACAGATGAGAAACCAATGCCTCAATGGAAAATTAAGGCATTGACTTTTGACCATCAGATATGATCCATCTGGTGCTGGACAAAAGCTTCCCCCCAATGCCAGTCTCATCACCCACATTCATCATCATAATCATCAGACACGATTTAGCCACTGCTGTGTGAAGGCTTCCCCAAGCTGTTACCGCCTCATTATTTTACTCTGTTGAACTTGTTTTGCACGTAGCCAACTTGCTAATCAGAGGAAGTTCAAATTAAACAAAACGAAGTTCTAAATAGAGTTTTCAATCTAGATTATTTTTGAAAGTGCATAGCTCCAGTGGCTTCCTAATAATCGGAAGGTAGGTAAAAGCATTCCAGACGGCCGCAGAAGCACATTGGAAAGCGCGCAATGCGGCAACGAAACCAATTTGATCATTTTATCTCCGTGGAGTCAACCCTCTTCGTCCTGTTCAACAGGTGTTAAAAGATGGATGGAAACAGGCACGGGAAAAATACTACTAAACTATAACAAAACATGTTTTACCAGGTAAAGCCCACCAAGATAGACCTTTTTCAGAAGCGACTTTGCCACAAATTATAGCTCTACGAAGTGGCTCATCATAACGTGGACATTTATATAGCAGCCAAATAATCTAAAACGCATGTCGATTCTAAAATGGGGAACGAAATAACTGGACGACCCGGGAGGAAAAACCCACCCACCACGGGAAGAGAGACATGCAAACGCCACATACACAGCAAGGATCGGGATCAAACCCGTGACCTCCTGCATACCCAGCGAGGGAAATAACATCTCCACCATTAGTCTTGACTACCAACCATAGCCCCCCCTTCTAGCGGCAAGTATCACGCAAGAGTGCACTCCTTCCAACAGCCAAATGGCGGAATCTTCCCGCGTGTTCTGCAATGCACGCGGCCTTCTCCCCCCCCCATCCGCGCGTATTGCCATTAAGATGTTCGCACTGCTGCTGGCGATGCCGCCAAAAACACAAACCGTGCGACAACTCTGCCCCCCCCCCCAGCCCCCCCCTCCCCCGACGCGAGGTGACGCAATGCGGCGTTACACGCGGAGAAGAATGCCGTCGGTGGCATTGCTTTGCAAGGCAAATTAACGCGTGGCTGGGTTTGGGGAGGGAGTATCAAGTGCTTTTTCAAAGGAACACGACTTGTGTCTTTTTCCCCCAAGCTATGAGCCCATGGCCAAATCATCCAGAATGCGCTCAGAAGCCATGCAGGTTGGAGCCTGGACAGTGCACGGACCGACAGGTTCTTTAAAAATCTGCCGACTCGCAATCAATGGGCTTGTGAATGAGCACACACAAAGCCGAATGGGTGTGGTACAATACCCCTCTAGCCGACACAGCCAAACAAAAATCACATTTAGTAGGTCACACGGAGCAAAAACCACGTGGCCACTGGTGTTTGTTTACAGCAAAGCGGCTCTGCTGAAAGAAGCCAGGCAACGGCTCCATACTTTTGGCGATCGAACCCTCGCAAAACAAATGCGAACCATGACGTCGTCGGCCGTGGAACCCTACGCGTTTGTCATCACGGGCTGCTGCTGCAGGCCCATGTTATCAGCAGAGGGCAGCTAAACACATTGTTATACTGTAATTCTACACCCCCCCCTTCCAATACTAATACCCGCCATTCGCCACCAAGGTGAGGGTGATTGTCACCACGGCGGCTATGCCAGGCCAGGTGCACTTAAGAGGGTCTTCGACACCTCACGTGGCCTCAAGTCACGTGACAGACCCAGGTGCCATGGGTTGACCGACTGGGATGACTAGCAGATGCACCACCTGTGCCCTCCCCCTACCGTGCCAACGGGCGCCCACACCCCCCAACGTCCTACCCACTTTAACCAACATGCACGGACCAGCATGGTGAAGTATAGTCAGTGGATTTGACAAAACCCGCTGCGGCGTAGGTAGGGTGTGCGCGCGAGTGACGACTCGGTCCGGTCGCCGTCTGCCATCTGCAGAGCTGCGGGGGGGCCTGCAGGCATGGCACTCGCTCTCCGCCCTCGCTCACCGCGTGGGTGAGACACTTGTCCAGGAGCTGCAGGTAGGAGCTCACGTTCTCCTCGTCGGGCCGAGACACGAGCAGCTGCGTGCAAGCTGAGAGGGGCAGCGGGAGAGGGGGGAGGGATAGAGAGAGACATTTCTTTTGAACTGCTTTGTGTTTAGTTTGTTGTCCTTCCCCTCCCCCGCGCCTCCGATTACCACAGTTGGCTACGTACGGTGGGCGAAGGCAGCTCAACGTACATATACCCCGCGAGACAGTACACGCCGGGAGAGAGACACGTACGTCTTGTTCACACGCAACTATATCCATGTAAAATTTTGATTGAAAGCTTTCGTGACTGCAGGGATTCATATTCTTGGTTCTTTCGGTAAAGTCACGTAGAAGGGAAACAATGAAATAATACAAATATTAAACAATAAAATTCTCACGACGTTTTGACTGCAACACAAGCAATCATCATCAGGTGTGAAAAATTCACAGCAACAAAATAAAAAAAACAATACACATCCACGTTATCCAACTGGTCGATTAATTCAAGACAATAACGGCCAAAGATGGAACCATCATAGCCACTGCCGCCACCGCCACCACCATCATCATCACCTTTCCCGAGCACACGTGTGAACTGTCCCGGGATGTCCCCCTCGGCGATCAGGGCCGCCACCGACTCCACCTCCCCCCCGGGCGTCTGGTGGACCTGTGCGGACAAAGCCACAACCACGCACGTCAGTCACCACCCCCCACCATGCGAAACACCCGCGGGGCTGCGTGGCACAATCGTTACGCGCACAGCGGTTGCGCTTATCGTCATTATTATCATACTCCAGGTGAATAAAAATCCCAAACGTAATTTCAAATTGCCGAACAATTAACCCCTTCTCTTCAATAAGTTTTATTTGAAAGGGAAAAAAAATGTACGTGAAAGTTTAATGAGATTTGAGAGTCGAAGGAACTGCAATCCACCAAGACGCACGAACGGTTTTGAAATGTTAACGTCATCAGTCGTGTAAATCACAGCCGCCCACCCACCAATGGTCGCGACGCGTAAAAAAAAAAAATCACGAGCTGAACCGTAGCTCCGCCCACCTCCACCACAGCGCTTACCTCTTTGCCGTCGCCAGGCGGTTCCACGGAAAGGAGGCCACCGGCCGTGCCGGGCCCCTGGTCGGCGCGGTGTGGCCTGAACGGCTGGATCGGCGTGACGATCGTCTGGTGCAGCTCCGACAGCGCGTTGCGTAGGTTTCCAGTCTCCAGAACCTCCTGCCCGCACGCAGAAATACAAAGCGTTGTTATTACGATTATTTGTATTAATTCCGCTCGTTTATGTCAGAAGGCCTCGCAGAGTCTCACTACTTTTTTTCCCCCCCAGGGAGGGTCCCTGCCAAATTCTCAGTAAGGGGCAACATATGCCGTGTGTGTATAATCCTCATCGATTAATTCTTCGTGGCCAATTTGCGACCATCGCACGCCAGCACAATGGCCGACTCTTACGAATGATATCGCAGACCTTTTCGCACCGTACGTAGCCGACCATCTACTGCGAAGCTGATGGCACAGTATTAAAACTCGGGGAGGCCACCGAAATCGAACTGTGAACCTCTGCAAAGAGAGACAAACTCGCTACTGCTGGGCCGAATCACTGCCCTAAAATAGTGGACGACGCCGGCTAAAACGCACCATGGGTGGGACGGGCTGACGGGGAAGATTGGTGGATGGTTGAGTGGGTAAAGTGGTGGGTGGACTGGTGTGTTCATGGAAGGGCAGGCAAACGGATAGGACAGATAAATTAATCAATTGGTGGGTGGCCGGAAGGTGGACAGACACGTGTACAACTTTTTTAAAAACGGGTAGACGTTTGTTTGCCCAGAACACAAAATCATATCCCCGCTGCAGGAACGCGTCAAGGCAGGGGCCAAGTAGCCCACATCCTGTCGGCAGCACCACGGCATCACCGGCAGGCACGTCACGCGGCGACTCAATGGGCCGATTCTACGCGAGTCTCCCAGACGGTTTCGCGGTCTTCCGGCAAAAAAAAAAAAAAAAAGTGTGAACGGCAGCACCAGCTGGCACGGACACACGTGGGCAACAAACATACCCTCTCCAGCGCCCGCAGTGTGTTCTGCCGGTCCTTGAGCTTCTGTATGCTGAGAACGATCTTGTGCCGTGCTCCTTTTGTCACGTTCTGCAATGTACGTTACACGTATGTTGGTAGATCTTCCCTTTCGCACCGTACGTAGCCAACCGTGCTGAAGACCGCAACGCAGGGATTCCGCGCGGAAAGGCGGTGGCAAATTTAAGTTTTCAACTCAAGACCCTTTATAAATATGGGAGCGGGGTAAGAAAGTTGGGCGTTGGGGGAAAGGGGGCAGCAGTTCCGGGGAGGGAAACATGGGGGAGACAAAGCAACCAGGGCCCGGCACCGACGACGATGGAGAGCCACAAGGACAGCGGCTACGAGTGTCAGGGAACTCTCACAGGGGCGAGGGTAGTACACCTCCGGTGGTGATCTGCCAGTTTTACGAAGGACGGGGCTATTGGCACATTCCCCCCCCCCCCTCCACCATGGGAATTAATGGGGGAGGAGGGTAATTCTTTGACGGTTGAAAATTGCAATTCCTGCCTCTTCATTCAAGCAAACGGAATTTCTAAATATCGCCACTAGATGGCGCACTCAGCCTGCTAGCATCCCAGTCAAGCAAACGGACGAAAGCTGGCTAAGGCTTCTGGGTAGAGCCAAAAAGACAAAGGGGCATCCCTGCCCAGGGTCGCGATTCCATTCAAGAATCGATATGTTTAAGATTGATGGTCAATTACGAGTTACTGCCAAAGCCCACACTTCTGCTAACGGTTTAAATGACGCCAAACCTGCAACTTTCCAAAGCCTCCTTCAGTCTCGCACACAGATGTAGAATAAAAAAAAACATTACACTTGCGGTCCGATGCACGTATCGAGAGCATGACAAGCGATATTAAAATCGACACTTCCCATTAATTTTCATGCCCTTTGTCCTTTCACCGCCACATAGTTTGTTATTTTTTTTGGTTGCACATTTCATAAGCATCAGGGCCAAAAAGTGGGGCCTTAGCCGACACGCGTGGGATTGTGGGTAGAGGGCGGGGTACATCAGATGGCAGGAATGGGCACCAAAATCGAAGACTGCATTACACGCTCGTATGGCCCTGCGGAAACTCAACGATAAAAACAAAGAAATCCCCGTGGACGGGAACATCGACACAGAAAAACACAACCGGCAGCAACTCCTCCACCCCCAACCGCCCCACCAGACCGCAGTAAAGACGGCAAATAAACTCACCTGGCACTCGAGTTGCTGTTCGGACAAGGCCATCATCTCGTCGTAGTTGAGCTGAGAGAAGAGGCTCGCGTACTTGTGCAGCCTCAGGCTCTTGAGCCAGGCGGGAACATCTGCGACAAAAGAAACACGGGAGGCACCATACGGCCGATAGTTAGGGAGTCCGTCCCTACGAAGCACACGAAACTAAAAACCAAACCATTTTATTTTGCCAGGTAAGGCCCACCCCCCGAGCTATAAAGCTCAATCAAGAGGCTTATCATTGGGAAAATTTAGAACAGCCAAATACTTAAAGCGAACATTTCTAAAAATGGGAAAAACCGGAGGGCCCGGGAGAAAGATCCACGCAACCACGGTGAGACATCAGGGTCTGGATTGAACTCATGACTTCCTGTATACCAGACGAGGTAGTTAACATGGAGAACTTATTTCGCGCCGTACGTAGCCAACCGTGCTAAAATCGGAGGTGCGAAGGAAGGACAACAAAACCCAGATTCGAATTTTGGATCTCTCCGCGGTGATGGCCCAAGCGCTAGAATCCTCCGAGCCACTTGGCCAACATCGTTGCAAACGTGGTCAGCGCAGGGGGCCGAGTGGCTGCAAGGGTCTCACGCGAACCCGTAGGACGTACAAACCACGGACGGCCAAAAGGAAACCCCGGACCTCGGGATTATCCGCGATGCTGGCTCAGCCGGACGCATCAAGTACCCCGGCGCCTCCTCCGTGCCATAACTTTTTTTAGTTTGTGGTCCTTCCCCCCCCACCCCCACCACCTCCGATTATCACAGCAGTCTACATACGGTGAAAAAGAAGTTCAACGTGCATACACACACACCAACAAGAGCCACTTAACCATTTCATTCCAAACCTCCCAAAGCAGTCCACACCGCGTGGTTCAGCGGAAAGCCGTGCACGCCCGCACTCTCACCCCTCATGCCCGTGCCCTCCTCGTGGAACGTATTCCTGTTCGATGCCCCCGGCAGGAGGATCAGATCCTCCGGGTGCTCGCTACCTCCGCTGCCCGACGACGCCACGCTGCTCTGCGGGGAGAGCGGCGCGTGGTGGTGGTGGCCGTGGCCGTGCGGCAGCGGCAGAGGAGGAGGAGGAGGCGGAGGCGGCGGAGGCCCATGGTGGTGGTGGTGGTGGTGGTGATGGTGGTGGTGCGGCAGGGAGTGGTGGTCGGAGGAGACGTAGTGCTGCTGCGTGGAGGAGGACGAGATGGTGGAGGAGGGAGAGATGCCGCTGCCAGTCGAGCGCGGAGGCCGGAGGTCTTCGTGGGAGAGCCACTCGTTGGAGAGGCCCACGGTGGACAGGGAAATGGGCGGGGTGAGCGACACGGAGCGCTTCAGGGAGCCGTGCTGGGTCTGTCCCGACAGAGCTGCGATACACACAAAGACCCCCCCTGTTTAGCCGACTTGGAGAAAGTGCTGTTACAGAGCACCTATGAAGGCTGGACCGGCACAAAGGGGTGGGGGATGGCCAGCACCACGCCCAACCGCATTTGACTCCCTAGTAGCGATGTTTACACACTGCTCCAGGTACTCATTTTTTAGGCCGAGTCGACTTAAGGGAGGCCCAGGACAGGTTCAGATAATCGTCACTGGTGTAGGCGGTGAGCGGGCATTTAACTCGGGTAACCGGGTCCATAGGGCGGTGCGTCAACCACTACACGACTGCTCCCCTTGGACACGCACACAGTGAAACCCATAGCACTCTGGCGACGATCGAAACGATTTCAAACTCGCGTCTCGACACGGCAACATCAGCGGCTCCGCTTCTGTCTCCGACAGCCACGTGGCGCTCACCAGGGTTGGTGGTGTTGATGCCCAGGCTGTTGTAAGATGGGGAGTTGGTTCCCGGCGCAGCCTGGTGATGCCCGTTCTCACCGAGCCCGCCGTGGTCCTGCCAGCCGCCGCCGAACTCTCTCTGCTGCTGCTGCGGCTGCTGCTGCCACCCGTTGAGTTTGCTGCCACCAGAGCTTTGCCTCTGGTGGTGCGGCTCGAAGGTGAAGCTTGATGCCGTCGACTGCTTGGGGGAGGGGGGGTGGCACAGAGATACGTACAACCACGTGAAACGATAATAAATTATTGGAGTAATTATTTGGCGTTACACTGCTACGTTGACAGTGGTGGTGCACAAACGCAAATTTGTCATTGGGCCACTTCACATAAGCGGGGTGAGTTTAACCACCACCCCGGGAAGGGGGGGGGGGGGGCTGGATGGCCCTGTGGAATCGGAAACCCACAAGCGAACTTACCGCGGGATGATCGTGTCCACTCCCACCGCCGCCACCGCCACCGCTCCCGCCGCTGTACGACGTCGCGGGCCCCGGCACGGCCACCCGCTCCTCGAGGTGCGAGAACCAGCCGGCGAGCGAGCCCCGGTCCTCGAGCGAGACGGCCGGGTGGATGAGCGCGAACGAAAGCAGCTGGCGGCTCTCCTCGACGCGGTGGCCGCTCTCGATGGCGTGCGCCAGCACCCCCGGCAGCAGCTTCATGTACTCGGCCTTCGCCTCGGCGTTGCGCGGCTTGAGCAGCGGGAAGTGGGTCAGCAGCAGCGCCAGCGCCTTCTCCTTGGGCTCCTGCCACCACTGGCTTACGCAGGCTGAGCGCGTGCCGGTGACGGTGGGCGGGCGAGTGGTGCGTGCGTGTGGGGGGGGGGGGGGGGGGGGGCGAGCGAGCGCATGTGGGCGAGGAGTAGGCGTGCGAGTGGGTGGGTGGATGCGTGGGCGGGTGTGAATGTGCGTTCATGGGCGGTTGGATGCGTGCACGCAGGTATGTGGGTGGGCATGTGCAGGTAGGTGGGATGGTTATGTAGGTGCATGGCGGGGGTACGCGCATATGAGGAGTGTGGTCGCGTGCGTTTGCGAGAGAGACAGACAAGGGCAGCAATCTTTAGACAGTCATACTTCCACACAGGTGGTCATTACAAGGCACGTTATGAACGGTTATACATTTTGAAATGCCTGGTGTGTACTCGGCATTACTGGTGTAACAGATTCACCGACGATGCATATTGAATTGTACGTATTGTCGGCCAATGACCATTTGCGGCAATACAATAAAACTCACTACTTTGGTTATTTCGGTAAAGTCACGTAGATAGAAATTTAATAATAATGGAATACGACGTTTTGATTGCAACACAAGCATCACCAGGTACAAATGAATGAGTTTACTATGTTTGTTTTCTCATTCATTTGTACCTGATGATGGTTGCTTGTGTTGCAATCGAAACGTCGTATTCTATTATTATTACTACATTTCATTCTACGTGACCTTACCGAAAGAACCAAAGAGTAATTCCTGCAGTCACGAAAGCTTCGAATCTAATAAACCTCACTGTTGAACCAACATCGAACTCAGATTCCATTTTTGAAATGGAATTCGATCAATCAATTTGTGGCGACTCCAGAATAAATCCCCGTTTGCACGAGGACATCGCACGGAGTGGTGGTGGTGCTGCTATGGTTGAGCACACTGCCCCCTTAGGGCCGTCCATAAATGACGTCACGCGATTTTGGACGATTTTTGACCCCCCCCCCCTTCGTTACAAAAAGTCAGCCCCCCCCTTCAAAGACGTCACAAAGCTCTGCCCCCCCCCCCCCAAAAATAAAACGTGCTGCCAATCGCTTTAAACTATTGTCATTGTAGTGCGTATTTAATGTGGCGCTGCACTCTGATGTTGTAGGATAAAACATTTATTGAGAAGTCCATTTAATTAAGTAGAAAGTGTTTATATTTATTTAAAGTTGCGCATTTTAATGTGACGTCGCATTTCTCAAACCCCCCCCCCCCCCGGTGCATGACGTCATGTATGGACGGCCCCTTAACCCAGGTGACCCAAATTTGACTCCCAAACCACAGCTAACACACCAGTGGTGAATGATGGCCATTCCACTTCTGGGGGAGGGGTGGGGGGCAGGCTCCCCCCCCCGCCGTACAACCCACACCGTTATATTATGCATCACCACTTTGAGTTAAGGACACTTGCTAAAGAATCCTTTGTCTTTCCTGGCGCACATCGCAATTTTCTGTCAACAGCCCCCCCACACCCCTCCTACACAACCCTCATCAACAAAGCACTCGATGGGGTTCACCTTCACACAAGTGAAACGTGGAAACGTGAGCGCACAGACTCGTATGCACGGAAACAGGCACACGCACAAAGACAAAGATACCCCCCCCCCCGTATAGCCTTAACAAACCATTGGGGCAAGTGCTGTTAGCAAGCACCTATGAAGGCCGACAATGGGTAGGCAGCCAGCAACCATGCCTGGCTGCCTTTGACTCTCCAGGTGCTGATATTTTACACACACCGCCCCAGGTACTCATTTGAGAGTCGAAGCTGAGTCGATCTAGGGGGGAGCCTCAAGACTGGTTTAGAGCATGAAATATTATTGGTGACCGCAAACGGGAATTGAACTCTGGGTCGCCGGGTTCGTAGGTGCAGCGCGGCAACCACGACACACACACGGCGATGTTCACGCGCATAAACTTGGGCAGTGACACAAAACATTCAACTTAGTGTGTCCGCCAAAGTACACAAACACGACACACACGCACACAAGCTCATCCTAGTTTGTTGGAGTGTGTGTGTAGCCTGGCAACAATGTGCTACCACCATTTCCTCATTTGCCACGCTCCTGTATGTACATAGTCATTTAAAAAAACAAATACTGGAGGTGAAATGGAAATCTTTTGACAATGTTAAAGTGGTTTCTGGCCTCTTTCCCAAATCAGAAATCTTTCAGCAGCAGCAGCTGACATCACCCTCGTGCCATCTTAGACCCTACCAGCCAAATACAATAAAGACAAAGATCACCCATATAGCATAAACAGACTGTTGGGGCAAGTGCTGTTATCGAGCACCGATGAAGGCCGGCACGGCACACGAGGGGGTGGGTGGCCAGCACCACGCCCGGCCGCCTTTGTCTCCCTCGTGGTAATTTGTTTTATACCACGCCAGGTCATCGTGAGGCAGTGTTGACCTAAGGGAGGCCCAAGGACCAGTTCACGTAAAATAGGTCACCTGGTGTTGGCCGTGAGCGGGAATCGAACCCTCAGGTTCGTATCTCAGCCCGCTAACCGCTACACGACGACGACCTCTGCCCTACCCAGCCAGCCTCGCAGCACAAACACCTCGCGTACAAACAACGTGGTGGCACCACACACCAGTCTGCCCCCACACCAGCTCTCAAGTCTTTACCCATAACCACACACACACACATCATTCTTTCCAGCCTGGCTCCACTCACGGCAAACCGTGATGTTAGAGAGCATCTATTCAGGTGGGCAGCGAGCACGTAAAAACACAAACGTTGACGGCACGGCAAAACGCCCTACGCGCTAATAACCGGGAAAAAAGCTAACAAAATCAGAGCACAGGGACGCGTGCACGGAACAACGGTAAAAACAGAAAACTCCAACGTTGCAAAGGCATTTTCACGTGTGCGATAATGCCCCAGTGGTTTAATTGGCTTGTCATTATCAGATGATCCTGCTTTCACCGGGTCACTACAGTGGATTTATCAGCATCATTTTAGGGTCGTCCTCCTCGTGGCTCTTTTACTGCTACCATCTCGCCCGCGAACTTCGCACCTTGACATACGTGCGCTAAATGCCAAGGGCTCATTCCTCGCAGGCCGAGAGAAGCGAGGCGACAGGGGCCGGACAGAGCGTCCCCCGCCTTTAAAAAAAAAAAGCGCTCCCTCTCTGCACTCAGATTCGTGCCGACGACAGAAAATGAGTTTACGAATAACCACCACCACCGCCGCCAGACGGTGACATCGATAATGAAAAAAAAACACCGTGGTCTGGTTATAGTCACGGGCTTGCCAGGCTCCGGATTTCACGCGAGAGAACGGGAACGCGAGAAGGGGGGGGGGCGGCGCACGGAGTCCCGAGGCATCTGTGACCGCCGCGCGATATCCCGTGCTCCTGCACAGCCAACGAGCCGTTAGTGGGGGGGGGGTAGGGGGGTGCACCGACCCCACTCGAGCGACAAATTCCACCGTGGGACGGCAGAGACGGCGCCGCTCAGAGCCTCCTTGCACAGTAACGTATTCACTGAGCCGTCAGGAATGTTCCTTTACGAGATTCTTTTTACACGTCGGTTTGGGAAAGCACTATTATGGGACGGAATCGATTTCTGGGCTAGCCACCCGACTAGAGGCCAAGGCATTAACATGGGCGGTGTGTACAGCCGTTTAAACAACGGGCCAATTCCGTTTGAACAATTCCCGCAACCAAGCGTAAGCAACTTTAGATACTAAATCATACACGTGGACAATGCAATTTGTTTGCCTACGGTCCGTCCGGTGAAGGGTGTTACAGAAATTGGGCCAGATCGCTCCGAAGTCCAAACCAACATTCACGAATCGATATACGTTACTTTCATTTAAATTTGGTTAAAAATGCAGTGCGTGCAACAATGCAGCGGGTTTTCAACTCGTGGGTCGTGCACCCACTTGAAAGCCGCTCAGGGGTGCAGGCTGCGGCATGGATACCGTGCAGGAGAAAGTCTAAATGTGTCGGGGATTGTCGGGAAAAAAAAATATCATAAAATGCAAATACTACAACCTGCAAAACAAATGCCAAACTACAACCGCACGCGAAAGCCTCAGAGGCGTGTACATGCGATCGTTTGTACGTTTATGGTCATCTCGTGCATTGTGCCCCGAAGTGACCTATTCAGTAACCGATAACTTATACTATATTATCTGTTATTCATCAGCATCTTCTCCTTCTCCTGGATAGACGTCCCTCTCACCAAGAGTTCAACATTCCTTGGCTGCCACTCCGTTATTAGTCTTGTCCACCCATCATCCCTGCTGGCCATGACGGGTCCTGCCCAAGTCCACCTTTCCAACAATCCAAATTTTGCCACTTGTGGTGCCATGGTGGTGAGAGGTCAACTACCTCACGTAGTATACAGGTGGTCGTGAGTTTGATCTCGACCCCGATGCCTGCATATTTGTATGTTCTCCCCGCGGTGGTGTGGATTTCTCACATTTAGAAACAACATGCGTTTAGAACATTTCCACATAAGCCACTTCGTTGCGCTATCATTTGTGGTCAGGTCACGTCTGAAAAAGAACTATACGGCAGTGTGCCTTGCCTGATGAAAAAAAAAAAGCTGTAAGTTTAGCAATATTATTAACGTGAGCACGTTCTCCAATTCACGAGTTCCCGGGTCTCAACGTTATTCCAAAGCGCAATTCATTATTAAGAATATTAATTCGCCGTGCGGACTTGCGAGTGCCTCGGCACACGACGACCCTTGGCAAGGTACGCTTCAAAAGAGAGAGAGAGCCTTGCGAGATTTTCCATCCATCACTGGGTGGCAGGGGAACGTCGCAGGGGGAGGGGGAGACCATCCCCCCCCCCTCCACCTCCACTGCGAGCCAGTAGCTCGGTGTGAAGGCAAGGTTTTGTTCTGTCAAAACCTCTCGCTTACCCGCCCCTCCCTACCACCGCCGCCGCCACACGTAAGGATTGACAACTTTACACGCTAATAAATAATTAGATGCTCCACGCGGCCGATGGGACGTACGAGAATAAATGTATTTTAAGCGGAGGGACAGATGTGAAAGAGGCGAGGAG